TTAAAGGAGTTTCAAGTAATCTGATGAATGTTTAGTTAAATCATAGTGTGTTATATACGAATGATAAGACACGTATTCTTCCTATTAGACATAATTTCAGGGTTACCATTACACGAACGTTGCGTAACATCGATCACCCTTATTACACGTAACATCGTCTTATATGGAATTATTTATTTAACCAAAAGTTACGTTAGAAAAATATTAAAAAAAATGAGAGAAAATTCTACAAATTTCACACAAGTAAAAATAAATAAAACAATTATAGAAAAGACTCATGCCGAAGTGTTAATAGTTAATGACGCAGCAATCTGTTTATAACCGATGAGGCTATTCACTCGTAAGATAATTGCAGACGTTGCATATTATTAGGTCGTTGTCTTAAGAATTTTTGGTCAACAACACCCACATTCAAAACCTTTTCTTTTTTTTAACAGTCATTAAACCCTTTATTCCGTAATAAAAGATAATGATATACCAATGCAAGATTTCACTTTCTTATCAATTTACATTGAATGTTATAAGTTAATTAAGTAGATCTATTTCAGATAACACATTATATTCTAACAGTAAAAGTTACAACACCGATTTTAGAAAATGAAAAACATACAAAAAAAGAATTAACACGTATAATTTTACTGCATCATTTACGTGAACGGTGCAAAAAAAAAACCAGTTCCTAAAGGTGACTCTAACGTTAAATATGCCAACTGTAAAACGGTGATTTTTAAATGTATTGTATTAAGAAACAGTTATCTTTTTTTTTTTTACCACGCGCTTTTCCTATTTATCTATACTAAAAAAATGGATTAAAAAATAATGATAATGAGACAGAATATCGTGTAGACAGTTCATGAACGTATGACCTTGTCCTAATTGCGATAGTGTGGATGAACTGATGAGGCGGTCGACGACCGTCTGAAGAAGTTGAAAGACGACAGGTAGTGTCAAACACAATTGAACTATACGTATACAACACATAAAGTCAATCGTACCGAAAGGAAGAAGCATTTACTTAACTATAATAAGAGCTTAAAAATTTAGTATTTCCAGCAACACGTTTCCATTTCCTTTCTCGTGTTTCTTTTTTTATTACGGTGTTGACATCTCTGTTAACTTTTTTTAAATGTCCCATGCTAAATATATACAAATCAAATTTCAATCATTAAATACAGTACTTTAATGAGAGCCACTGACCCCAATGCTTCAAAATCTAGACATGTACCAGAGACCCACCGCCCTAATTCTGTTTCTGGTAATAAAATGTTTCACCTTTAATCTTGAGGGCTAGAAAAATGAAAGAGGGAAGGGGTGTTTTTTTTACAATAAAGTAGTACGTTACGTCTAAGTTAAATTTCGTAATGGCAAACTTTTACTTTAATAATAATAATACTTAAAATTTAAAACTTGTAATTGCAGACTGGCAAATATCCAAATGTATATGCTAATTGCTAACATTTTCTCTTACGTCACTCTATTACAAAATATACTCTACAGTGAAAAATAATCATACAAGTTTAGGGGGGAAAAATGTGTATAAAATTGGGCAGTGAATACAAAAGTAATGGGCCAAATCTGGCCCACAAAAGGATATATATTTGTATAGGATACATCCGATTTATGGGTAATTTGGTCATCTAATTTTAATGATTTTGATGGTGTTTTTTGTGTTTATAATTTGCATAATTAATTGCTAATATTTCCAGCTCTTTTCTTATCCTTCTTCACCCTTTTTTTTAATAGGAAATTTGATTAAATACCTTACGATTTTACTATAGAATTAAGGTAGGAGAGGTATAGAAAAAGCAATTATGAGCCTGGAAAATACTTTAAAAAAATTAATCATCGAAAAATATATAATAAATTTGGAAAATTATCAATTAGTTTAATCATAAACATTACTTTAAAACTAAATATCTTATTAATAAATGAAAAAAAAATATATATATACTTGTATTTATATTCCGAGAATTAATAAAGGTTCAATAATCTTTACAGATCTTTCTTAGAAGTAAAAATTACTTTATTATTTATTTATTTCTATAACATTCGACCTGATTAATATAATTTATTATGCTTCTTTTTTTTGTTTTCTTTCTTATTGAAACATTAGAAAACACCTGAAATGGGGAATAAAATAGATTAAAACTTGAAAATTTGCCAACGACTCGAGGAACTGAATAGTTAAGACACGGTTCGAAAAGAAGGAAAACATTCCCAGTTGATAATAGAAGTCATTGACAACAACAAAGTGATTTCTCATACTTTCTCCCAGGAACCAATCCAACATGGATGATGGTCATCAGTCTTCTTCTCGACACCTCACCCTCTTTCCCCATATCGTGTCCTATTGTCACCAGAAGCGATTGAACGGTCACTGAACCTACCAAACATTTCCCAATTTCTACAAATACCGTACAGATTTAACACAAAACACCTGGTGGGTCATGTCTAAACCTTCAGGGGTGCACATTCTTCGTTTTTACCAGGCGTGGGAAACACACGAAGACATTTTACAATAAACCCTACTCGTAGCTCTTCTGGGCCATACACCGATGCCATTTTTAAACTTCTCCAGTGTTTTATTATTATTATTATTATTATGTTTTTTCTTCCCTCTTCTTTCTTCCTTTTCTGTCTAATCTCTTTAACAATAAACAATGATTATTAACTGTTTGTTAATATAATCTGAAATCTACGTCGTACTTATCACTTTTTTTTTACTACTTCTGACATAAAACTCTGAACTTTGCTACTTATTCTAACCTAATTTTTTGATAGGTAAATATACACAAAACCTAATTTAGAAGCAAATTTAATATTTATTTTTTAAAAGATGGAACGTATTCAAACGGGCCAAGGATACAAAATAATAATAATAATAATAATAATAAAGAAAATAGTGACACGTGTACTGGTGTTATATGATGTAGCAGTTTTTTTGTAATCGATTGTCCTTAATTCTTATTTTAACAACGTAAAAAATTACATAAGAATTTGTAATTATTCAACTTTGTTTATTTGTATTCTCATTTATAACGAAATTTATTCAATTCCGGAAACGATAAATATTTAAGTAGTCAAAATTTATGTCATTTTCTTACCATCGTATTACATTTGCATACAGGAAAACAACGCAATTTCCTGTATTAAACACTGAAAAAAAAGCCACGAATCTTTTTGAAATTTCCAAAAATAGTTCAATGTTAACAAGAGAAAACAAGAGTTAAATGTATACTTTATAAGCCTATATATATATATATATGCTTGTCGACACCTTTTCGAAATCAGTGTCTTTAATCACCCCTCAAAGAATCCCTATTATCTCACATTCTATTAAATATATATAGAAAAAAAGAAAGGAAATAACTGTATAATAATAACATTTTTATCAATTTATACGATTAAACAAAGTAATAAAATAAAAATTTTAAACATCGACACGTGTTCTGTATGTTGTTTACAAGTATACACTAATTAATTTCGTTATAAAAAAAAATAATAATAATTTAAAACACTAGTTTATACAGCCGGGGTGTTTCTTTACTAACTTCTAAATTCAGCCATTAGATTGTATTTAAAAAAAAAAAAAAACTTATCAAAGATCGATCTAGGTCAAGGATATTGCATGTTACAGTTATGCAACCCTTTAAGCTCGTTTAAATGAAATCGAAGCCCGTGTTATTATATATCAACATTAAAGTGTTTATACCCACATTATAAACCGATACAACACAACCGTGAGATAAGAATAAAATTCTACTACTTATTAAGAAATATTATACAAATAAATATTAAAAAAAAATTGATTTTTTTACACCTTAAATCATCGAAGATAATTGGGTGTGGTTATTATTTTTTTATTTAACAATAAAAGAGTATAAAGAACGTTTAAAAAGCCTCACTACAGTAAAATTAAATAGATAAAAATATAAATATATGACAATAATTAAAACGTCATTAACCTCAGGAAGGAATTATCAATTGTTTTTTTATCGTTTACCATTGAATTAATTATCAAAATACACTGTTTTTTTAAACATTATCGTAGTTTATAGTTTATAAAATGTCAACGACATTACACAAAACTTCAATGACTTTACAGATTTCCGAGTTAATTCAATCTGTGAATTTTGGCATCAGGTAAATGACATCTACAAAGTAACAATGGAAAGAGAGAGAGAGAGAGAGAGTAGTGTATATTAAGAGAAACCAGTCTCGTTTACCTTGAATTGTAAGAGAGTAACTTTCTGAGAGGTTCAATAATCTTTACAGATCTTTCTTAGAAGTAAAAATTACTTTATTATTTATTTATTTCTATAACATTCGACCTGATTAATATAATTTATTATGCTTCTTTTTTTTGTTTTCTTTCTTATTGAAACATTAGAAAACACCTGAAATGGGGAATAAAATAGATTAAAACTTGAAAATTTGCCAACGACTCGAGGAACTGAATAGTTAAGACACGGTTCGAAAAGAAGGAAAACATTCCCAGTTGATAATAGAAGTCATTGACAACAACAAAGTGATTTCTCATACTTTCTCCCAGGAACCAATCCAACATGGATGATGGTCATCAGTCTTCTTCTCGACACCTCACCCTCTTTCCCCATATCGTGTCCTATTGTCACCAGAAGCGATTGAACGGTCACTGAACCTACCAAACATTTCCCAATTTCTACAAATACCGTACAGATTTAACACAAAACACCTGGTGGGTCATGTCTAAACCTTCAGGGGTGCACATTCTTCGTTTTTACCAGGCGTGGGAAACACANAAAAATTAATATTTAAAATGGATAAAAATATTTTTAGATAAAATGTGCGATATTCTTCCACCTCATATTCGTCCTTGATGAGAGTATCGACCTTTACGTAGCTCCATACGTTAGACAGTACGAGTGTGACGTCATAATCCAATGAATGTCCAATCAGCCCCTTTGTAATCATCATCGCGGAAAGTCGTCACGTGGATGATGAAATGACCTTCGTCCGTATGATGTTAAGGTGGGAGGCATAAATACTCCGTCGTCTTGGTATCTGATGTGCAGTCGGGATGATGATGTGGTCGCTGGTAGTAGCAGCGCTTGTCGGTTTCGTAGCGGCAGTTCAAGCTGCTCCCTATCAGGAATATACAAAACCGCTTATTCTCGTGTTAGATCGTACGATAAGCGTATTGAGTAGTGGTAATATAACAAACACTACGTTTCAAGTATCCGAAGCGTGTAAAAATTCAACTTCATTTCTAATAGGAGAAATTAAAAAGGGTGCTCTATGGGCATTAAGAAGTAAGTAGTAGTGTTAATTTTCTTATTTAAACGTATAATAGTAGTGTTTAAATTATGTTATCTTTTCTTTCTATCTTCCTTATGTATTTTCCTACGATAAGACGGTTGGAAATATTTTTCAAACGAGTATTTATCTTAACTTCTCCCTCAAAAAATTATGCAAATTTTCGAGTAGAATAAACGTCGAGGTTAATTACTCGAGTGTCGAATTGTACCGTTCTAAATTAAGAATCTGTAGTTGTTTTCGGAAAGCGTGTGTGTGTGTGTGTACGTAATCAAATTATCTACACGTTCGTTACGTAACGAGAATCGTCCTTGAGGAAGATCGTTTTATTTCCTCAACAATATCCTTGAAGAAGAAGGAAAAAAAAAGGGAGGGGGGTGGATGTGAGAACACACTAAAATTCTAACACCTCAAGAACGGAAATGTGAAATTTGTTGATTAAGGAATTAAATTTTGTTAATTTATTTAATCTCTAATAATAAATTCAATTATATTCAAGGTCTTTTTATAAAACTAGGGATGTTTTTTTTTAAGTTAGAATTTAGGTCGATAGGTACTGGTATTAATTATTGTATAACAGGTGTTTTAATTCATTTATATAATTAAAGGATATTTAAGTAAATATTTAAACTACTAAATTTTAAAAAATAAATAGTTTGTAAGCTGTATATACAGCTATAAATTAAGCTTTTATACTGTACAACGAAGCTGCACTTCCTTAAGGAAGTGCAGCTTCGTTGTACAGTATGAACTTCATGTGTTTTTCTTTTGTGTTTTAATAGTTATAGATGCCACAGGGAAGCCGTCCACGGGATTTTTAGAATCTGGTACGACCATGCCAGGTTTTTTTACCGAATGTATCCAAACTTTTACATCTTCCAATCGAACTTCTGAGTTCGGAGGGAAATACTGCCTTGCAGAGATATTTATACCAGAAAATAAATTAAATGTAAGTAAGTGATGAAGAATTTATTACGTTAATTGTTAATTATTCACGATAAACTAATTATTTTGTTTTTTTTTAGGAAAAAAATTCCGACGAACCTTTCAATATTGTCAAAGATTCCAGGCCTTATGTAGGTGTCTGCATTCCTTCCGTTTGTTCGGATAAGGATGTGGAAATGGCAATAAGATACGGTAAGAGCAAATTAAAAAAGAATTAGTTAAAACAAGATCCTTCTTTTATTTACGTGTGGATATATTTTCACACCTTTTTTCATTGATTAATAAGAGTTATCCTTCTACGTACAAAATTCGTTTAGAGCAGGATAAAAGTTAGTAAATATAGGAAATTTCCTATAAATTCTACTGAAGTAATTTGTTTTTTAACTCATCCTTAATAAAATTTAATTGATTCTGCTGATGGTCATTAATAAAATTCCGAAAATAAATGTCTTTAAGACTCGATCTTCTAAAGCGATAGGCTTTAACAGAAATTTTAACACACGAAAAACATTCCGATTGAAGAAAATTATAAAGAAGTAATTGAAGAGTTTCATAAAGCTCTAAACGAATCTTGCATTTAGATGGATAACCCAAATATAAGATTTTAAGAAGCTCTTGAAGACACTATATAATAAAGGTCATTGTTTTATCTAATAAAGAACTTTATTTTCAATTAGCCACACGTACAGTTGTTGAAGATGCAAACGTAACATTATCAACGTGTTATACGAATGAAAATCTCTTCAGATACGACATAGCAGCAATCGCCATGACGTAAGCTTCTAAAGAGTATTTTAAAGATATTTACGTATTAATCGTATATATAAATTTATTTATTTATTTACAGAACTATTCTTAGCTTTATGATACTGTTAGTTTTTATCGGTACTTTGTACGAAATTGTAAAATCTTTGCTCGTTTACAACGAATCGACGTTAAAAAAATCCGCAACTTCCACTGATACAATTCCTGTAACCACAGCTTCTTCCGAAATCTTATGCGAGAGGAGAGAACCCAAGAAAAGATGTGAGGAGACGTTGGTTTTTTTTTTTTTTAAAAATACAATTTATCATTATTAATTTCCTATATTTTTATATAGATTAACATATATTATTATAGGTTCTTTTATAGAGAAACTACTACTATGTTTCTCGATGAAGACAAACGGGAAAAAAATTCTAGAAGTTAATTATGTTAAAGGATCCATCGATGCATTACATGGAATAAGATTTATCAGCATGATATGGATCATTTTCGGTCATTCATTTTCATTCGCCGAGCAATGGCTATTCTTACGTAAGATATATAGGCCTATATATGAATATTTAAAATGCTTTCTCTCATTTTAATATGTTTTTTTTACATCTTTTTATTAATATAATTTTAGGAAAATTACCCGGTCAATCGTCAATTAACATTAATTTCTTCAGTCAAATATTTGCTAACGGTACATTTGCAGTAGACACATTTTTATTTCTAAGGTAAGTTTTTTATTACTTCAATTGTTCAGGCTGTAACACGTAAATACAGTTAATAAACCTGTTTTTTCTGATAGGAAATTTGTACCTTAATCGGAACCGTAAATGTACTGTACTTATTTCTATAATGAAAAATCAAGTGCATAAGTACAGTCATTGTTTAATACCTGTACTTATTCGTTTATATAATTCCAATGCATTGTGATAGGTGTTTTGAATCAGAATATATTCATTCCAAAGTACAACGTGGCTGTAAAATTCCGTAAACGGAAATAATGTGAAAAACATATTGAAATGCATCGTAAATAATTAAATTAAACGATGTATTTGTTATTTATTTCTATTATTATTATTATAATTTTTGGACTAGAATTTAAATTGCTATTTGAACTATTAAAACTATTCGTTGCACTTTAAACAGAAACATTAGCGAGGTTCCTGCCGAAGTTTTCATCTCTAAAACGTGAACGTCGAACGTCGAGTGCTGCTATCTTGTAAGCAGCGCTTGACGTTCGACGTTCACGTTTTAGAAATGAAAACTTCGGCAGGAATCTCGCTATTAAAGATTTTTATTAACTTCTAATAGTTACAAATGTACTATTAATTAAAAAACATAATGTGTTATCTCTTTTATTAGCGGATTTCTTATGGCTTACTGCACTTTAAAGAACATAAAGAAAACAGGGAAATTTAATGTGTTTCTCTTTTATTTTCATAGATACATAAGGTGAGTGTGTACTTTTTTTTTTTTAATTTAAATCTAATTTTATAAATCTAAAGTGTCGTATTCCAATAGAATGACTCCTTTAATGATGGCGATTATTGGTTTCTGCGCGTGTATATTGAGATATATATCCAGTGGTCCGAGATGGTTAGAAAATACATCAGTTTACGACACGTGGTGCAAAGAAAATTGGTGGACGAATCTTATTTATTTGCAAAATTTTATCAATACAACAAATATGGTGAGTTCGTGCAACATTATTAATATGTAACATTACTTGGACACATGAAATGCACTACTATTGTTTCGACCTCTCCTTAACGGGACAATCGACTTCGTAGTGTTTATTCTTCTAATGCAATCGGATCGATTTAAAAACCTCAATACAGCATTCCTTACTGAGTTCTTAGTCTATTTCTATTTGCCGTTTTAAGAGTTCTGTTCACATTAGTCCGTAGAGATAGTAGAAGATTGATTTTTTTTTTGTATAAGTTATTGGCTATACTCCTTGATTGATCGCCCGTTCGGCGATCAATCAAGGATCAGATCGTGCTGCAGAAGACACCAACGGTTATACTTGCAGGTCCTGCAATATGTGAAAGAACTCAAGCACTTTTTTACATTAATAGAAAAGATTTTAATCGTACAAAGCTAGAACAAGATTTAATAATGCCTAGTGAGGAACATATTTCTTCAATTAATTGTTTTCAGGGAAATAATCTTTATTATTAGAGAGGTTGCGGCCGACGTTTCCATAGGGAAGACGTGTACGTTGGACGTTCAGCGCCGCATTCCTGTAAACCTAGAAGTTTGACAATGGAGTTTGAACGTAGAGAATGATTCCATTGATGTTCCAAACGCCATTGTCAAACTTCTAGGCTTACAGGAATGCGGCGCTGAACGTCCGACGTACGTTTTCCCGATGGAAACGTCGACCGCAACCTCTCTCTATTATTATTTGTGGTTAAACATTTCACAAATTTTAGTTTCTTCTTTAATTAATTAAGCTTTTTAACTGATTTCTTTCCTTTTCAGTGCCTTTCACACACATGGTATTCAGCTGTAGATATGCAACTATTCATCATATCACCTATTATAATATATAGCTTACACAGGTAAGAAAACATTAATGCGATTGTATTTGAATGCGAATTATTATAGATACAAAAAACCTGTAAAACGTTGGACGAAAATATATAATTTTTAGAGGGAAGAAATACGGATTACCTGTTATATCGCTACTCTTCGCAGTAACAATAGGGCTAACAGCGTATTTAACAGCGGCTCATAATTATCCAGCAATTCCCTATGTCTCTAATATTGTGTAAGTATTGTCTTTTTTGTCCTCTTTTTTTATATAAATATTCATAATTTTCTCTCCTGTAATATTAAAAATATATATATAAATTTAGTCCTACAGATTTGATGAACGAGTATTTTGCAGCTGTATATATAAAACCTTATTGTAGAATGGGTCCTTATTTAGTCGGGATTCTTCTCGGATACATGTTATACGATTTACACGAACCAATAACAATAGCAAAGGTANTATATAATAAATTTGGAAAATTATCAATTAGTTTAATCATAAACATTACTTTAAAACTAAATATCTTATTAATAAATGAAAAAAAAATATATATATAAATTTAGTCCTACAGATTTGATGAACGAGTATTTTGCAGCTGTATATATAAAACCTTATTGTAGAATGGGTCCTTATTTAGTCGGGATTCTTCTCGGATACATGTTATACGATTTACACGAACCAATAACAATAGCAAAGGTAAATTATCAATACTTTAAGACATAGTAATAAGAGGAAATATTTGAAATACATAATCTTCTTCAGCATTGGGTAATGACCGGATGGTTAGTCACGTTAGCTACAATGCTATTTATCATCTACGCAATGTGGCCCGCTAATAGGGGAATTTTACCAACTGTGGACGAAGCATCAGCGTATGGTGCCCTGGCGAGAACGATATGGGGAATTGGTTTAGCATGGATAACATTTGCCTGCATGACAGGATATGGAGGTAGATTATTTGTGTCACTGTATAATAATATTACTATTCGGTTTTTTCACTAATAAATATTTAATTTCAGGTTTCGTAAATACCTTTTTATCGTGGAAAGCGTTGATACCTTTCAGTCGCTTGACGTATTCTGCCTATCTTATACATCCCGTATTAATGGTGATATTTTACAGCACAAGAGAGACTACATTTGATTTTACAGTATCTTTTATGGTAAACTTTTTAATCACTTAAATTATTTTAAATGAAACATTAATTTATTTTTTTTTTAAATTTTAACAGATTTATATTGTAATTGGAAATCTAGTCTTCACTTATTTTTTGTCATTCTTCTTGTCAATTGTATTCGAATCGCCGATCATAGGATTAGAGAAGACATTTTTGCACAACAGATCACGATGATGATGATGATTTTTTCTTCCTCAAACAACAACAACAAAGATCATCACAACTTTCTGGAAACAATGGAGAATACTTTAGAATTTATTTAAAAATGCCGCTGTTTATACCGATAAAATAATGTTTTTAAATAGCACAAAATTCACATGTTGCCAATCAGTATTTATATTTTGCATTTTGTTATAGATTGTCTATTTGAAAAATTAAATTTTTTCGTATTTTTGTCACGTCTTGTCTTCGTTTTTTTAAAAAAAAATTAAGATGATCATATTAGTGATTATTTTTTAATACAAATAAACGTTTTGTATCGTGTAATATTCGATAAATAAACCGGATAAAATAACCATTTTTTTAATATATTTTTTTGAATAGTAAAAGCAACTATAAGTGTCACCCTTTGGGGACTGTTTAACCTAAGATTTTGAACATTTTAAACTATTAATTTCTAAAAAAACTATTCTTCCATCTAGTCTTTTATTGTTTCTAGGTTAAGTTCGGTTCTATTTAAATACAATCTTTTCGGTTTTAGGTCATATAACGTTCAAATAATACTTCTGTAAAGTAAACGTATTCGACCTCCCCGGGTAAAAGAAATGAGCTCATATTTTTTAACACTGTGACCCGTTACTGATTCGTGCAGAACGAATTGTCGACTATTTCAAAGAACTTATATGGATGAAAGCGAACGATTTCACTAAACATTAATATAGGCTAACCTTTAACATTCATTGCATTGAAACTGCTTATCCTTTTGGAACCTTTATTTCCTCCACAAAACTAAAGAATTTCTATGTATCTTCTATTGTTATTTAAACTAAACATTAAAACATTCAGTGAATATAACTTAATCTAGTTTTTATAATCTAGATCAAAAGGTTTAATTGTGCAAAAAAGAAAGTCACCTTTGACCATATGAATATTAAAATATATAGATTATTATATCTAGATTAAACACGTTTAATGGACTAATGTAATGTCACCAAATCGTCATATTCTGTTGTTAATAATGTCACGATAGTATTAAAGTTTGATTAATTTTGTCAGTCAGATCAACGTCCATACAGTAAATAAGCTTATTGTTATATGATAAAACGAAGACAATGCTTTTATCAGCGTTATCTAGTATTTCTATTTAAAATCTTCGAACGGTTTGCAGAATTTATTAGCCACTGTTTCTTCTATAAAACAGAAGAAAAGTTTGAATTAAAATAGATAATTATGTATAAAAGATAGTCTATACGTGATGGTTTAAAGAAAAAATTACTTCTATAAACTACAGAATGAGCAGGAGTGGTTCATAAATGGTTGACTCTACCTCTAGCTACGGGTCTGTGGTTCAATCTTCACTTGAAAAGTTTTAAACTCCATAAACTTCCATAATTTATTTGTATTTTTACTTAAAACAATGCTTTCTTCTGTATATAACAATAGCAACAATTTCTTAAGGAATTACGCTAATACATAGACGGTTTATTAATTAAGTTAAGGTTTGAAATATCTATTCCCTCCCCGCAATTTACTTCATAATTTTCATGAGTAACGAACAAAATGCAATACATAAGTTCAGAGTATTGTACTGTACTTGACAATACAATTATATTGGAATCTTGCGCCATCTTTTGAGAATAAAATAAACTTTTTTCTGAAAATTTTTGATAATTTATTACGTATATAATATTGATTTAATAATGAATTCTTTATAATAATTTATAATTTAATATAGAAAAGATATTAATCACGATAACTATAAGAGAAAAATAAACACGAGTTGTTGCTTAACTTTTCCGGCAAAAAAAAAATTAAAACTAGTGACGCCATCTGTTGATATTTTATTTAAAAAAAAAACACGTTGCTACACCAACATACACACACAAAAAAAGAGTTTTTGTGAAGTGTTTAATACAGTGCTGAACATAGGAACAAGCAGGGTGTTGGAATACAAAGAGGAATATGGAGAACCTTCAAAGAGAATGTCATACCCAATAACATTTCAACATATAAAGGCGAAGAAATAATAATAAATTATATAGAATTTATTTCCGCTTCTTTTCTAATAAATTTTTTTATATAATACAATTATTAATTCTATTTTTCTTCGATTTTTTCTTGTACAATGTTCTAAAAAATACAACTAAAGTTATTTTTTGTTACGTTGATTTCCATCTATTATTACCTGTACTATTGATATGTCAATTATTTTCCATTTTTACTCTTTTTATTATTATTTATGTTATTTTATTTTCTAGATTAAGTAAAATATCAGAAGAGTTTACTCGAATTCACTCCGAAACTAGAAATTTATCTGTTTGCATCGAAGTTATTATACAGAAACATACCGAATTGTGGTATTGCATAGTGTATGATATGGTGTTCAATGTTGTGTATTGTTTTTTCATATATTTCGCATGTTTTCTTATTGCTGGTGCCATGTTTTTAGACTTTCCTTCTTTCTACTTCTTGATCTTTTCACTCGTTCCCATAATAACCGTAATTGCTGTCGTTATAGTTTCTTTTGTAATATAAGAAGCGAAACACTTGTGAAATAATTTGCTATATTCTTTATATCAATTTATAGAATGGTAAAAAGTGTTTTTCAAATTTTCTTTTATACACCAAAAGAATGTGTGTTGTTTTTTTTTTTCTCTTCAAAATACAAGACGGCAACTGAATTGTAGTGATTGTAATTCCTCTGAAATACATTTAGAATTCATAGAAAATGGATNTAAAGTATACACATGAATAAAATAAAAAAATATTTTTTTTTCAGGTTATATTAAATATCTATTCTGTAGCTGATAAATTACAAAAATTAAATGCATTTAAGAGAGTTGATGTTTTCATAGATACTAGTTCAGGTAAATAATTGATTTGAATAATTTTATTTTTAAAGAATGAAAAATATTAACTTATTAAATTGAATTTATAAAAATATTCTATCTATTGAGATTTTAATGTCAGTTAATGTCTTGCATTCTGTCAGATCTTACAAGTCTCTTTTTTTCTTATTATTTGAATAAAAAACAGAAAGTACTTTTTACATAATTTTCCAATATTGTTTTAGTGGTTAATTTACTAAGCTATATTCTGACTAATTATAAAAGTTAATGATTATCAGAAAATCACTAAAGTTGAATTAATTAACAAAGTTAATCATTCAGTAATTATGATTAATTAAATGATTAATCCAAAATGGTAGTATGTAACTAAGAAAAGTGTTGACATAAACAAAAATTACCTTTGTAATCCTAACAACATATTTATTAAAATCAAGAACATTTTTAATCAGTTTTACTGTAGTTAACAGCAACATCAAATAGAAGAATACATTTAAAAATAGAATGTAATGTTTGAATTAAAATAGGAACAGGCCTAACTCTAATGTACTGTATATGCTCTTTCTCATCTAGATAAGTTGAAAATTTATACTCATAGACATTCCATATTCATTAGTCATCACAATGCCAATATCCTTTCCAATGCTTGGCATTCAGTTTTTGAGATTTAATTGTTTATTTTTATTTTATGTATTATTTATTTATTGTTACTTAAATTTCTCGTTCTTAACCCGTCTATCTTTATTGTTATTAATATAAAAAGATTACCTTTTCAATTATTAATTACGTTACTAACAAAGAAAAATGCAAATTTTTCAATTATCTTATTTAATAGAGATGCTTTCCCAATTTGAATATATATATTCATTAAGACCATTCATGGGTCGATTATAAGGTTATATTTTTTAAAAAATACACATTATATTTCTAGAATTTATCTTATTTTTTTTTTTATTCGGATTACTTGAAATCACCCTTTGGAATAAGAAAGAATAACCTGAAGGTCGTTTTGGATCAGTAACATTCTATGGATGAGACCTTGTAGAAAATCTCTGATCTGTATTTCCTATTGCGAAAAATCTTTAATACTAGTCTTATAAATCAAATATTCTCATTCTTTTACGTATTTTTTTAAATAGCAAATTGATTACAAATTTTATAAGAGATTTTCGTGTCACTCGGTCAAATGAGAAGAAATTTCTGTAAAAGTTCCTTAATAAATCAAACATAAGTAAATACAGTCGACCCACCCCTTTTTTCCGTTTTATATGAATCCCATGTTGTACGAGTCACTTAGATTTTACAAATACATGTGCCGGGATGTGAACGGTTTACGTATTTGTAAAATCTAAGTGACTCGTACAACATGGAATTCATATAAAACGGAATAATCAACACTGTTATAGGGGGGTCGACTGTGTATTTAACACTTATTTATGGTTATATTAATATACTATCAAGTTATATTAAAGTAAATATTAATTAAATAAACACTACATATTCGTATCATGCTTAAAACATATAAAACAGACAGCTTTTTCTTTTCTTTTCTTTATATATTTATTTGCTTTTAAAAGACGATTCGGTTACCCCATTTTTTTTTATTTTAAACTTTGTCAATCCTCCCTTATAACTAACAATTGCAACGCCTACTATATTAACATTATACCTATAGGTGGCTTTGTGACGTCACACGTTGCATTTATATTTAAACGTCACGCGTATCACGTGTGTTTCAAAGTAAGAAGTTTAATTTCTTCGAAGATGTTTCATGTGATGTTAGTAGCTCTAATACTTTTAAACAATTATGTATCGGCACAAGACACAAGATGGAAACCGGTGGTCAGAGTTTTATTTCCGGTAGGTGTTTTAATTAATAGTAAAAGCGTGATAAAAACACATTAATTTTTATATAGAATTTATATATTTTAATATATATAGGGCCTATATGTTTGATGTGTAAAGTAAGAAGATACGTTAGAAAATTTTATTTTAATTTTTAAACTAATATTTAGAATATTTTACATGAAACTTTAAGGATAATTGAAAATAAAGAAAAATCGATAAAAATCTAAAAAAATAAGGAAAAACAACTGAATTAAATAATATCGAGAAAAACAGTATTGTTATTTACAACCTTGACTAGAGTATTGTTCTTGGACCAGTCGGGTGTCACCATTCTGTCTTGAATACAGAAGGCTCTTCTTACCGGATCATCCGCTAAAAATTTAAATATAATGATTTATTTGTCAAGGTATTAATATAAGTTAGTAGCGAGATTGCAGCCGAAGTTTTTCATCTCTAAAACGTGAACGTCGAACGTCGAGCGCGGCGCTCGACGTTCGACGTTCGCGTTTGAGCGATGAAAACTTCGGCCGTAACCTCTCTATTCTTTCGTCTCCTTTATCGACAGAACTTACTTTAATGACGCATTCGGTATACTTCATTCGTCTTAGATCGTCACCGGTGATAGGTCGAGTGACGTCGTCTCCAAATATCTCATCCATCTCTTGCTGTACTTTCTTTTGAATTTCCGGGTGTTTACCCAAAAGATAAAGGGTCCAAGAACTAGAATATGTCGTGGTTTNCCCTATAACACTGTTGATTATTTCGTTTTATATGAATTCCATGTTGTACGAGTCACTTAGATTTTACAAATACGTGTGCCGGGCTGTGAACGGCTCATATATTTGTAAAATCTAAGTGACTCGTACAACACGGAATTCATATAAAACGGAATAATCAACAGTGTTATAGGGGGGTCGACTTATAAAGTACGTTTATAATTTACTTTTCCACTTAAGCACTTCTACGTATGACTCAATAGAATTCCTAAAGATAACCTCGAAATTGTCGCTTTAATTTTATGATTTTTCTGGTAAAAATTTCTTTAAAATAGAAGTTAAATAACTGGGAAGATACCGACGCCCAAGATAAGCAAAAAATAAAATATTTTTTGAAGTAAAGTTTACACATTTGATGGGCGTATCCGTTAATATAACGATTGTTTGTCATGGTTGTAAGAACATGTCCTCGATACGAGAGTGTCACACTTTCTTTCATTTTCGTCGGACTTTTACCATGACACGAACCATCACCATGTCGCAAGAATGTCTTTCTGTCAACAACTGTTTTGTGCATCCGCCTACCGAGACTCGTTCGAGGGTATCTGCATTATCTTTCTCTATAAGACTTTGTTTTAAAAAATTTGATTCAATAAGTTCCTTCACGATAAATCATTCTTGCGTATAACATAAGTGAAATCACCTTTATAGTAATGTATCATTAAAAATTTCTCCTATAAAAACTCCTTTATAGGTTATAGATATTATTAAATTAAAGGTATTAAAGAGGCACAAATAACACTAACAATTTCGATAATCATGCGTAATTCACGAAATTATGTATAAGTAGAAAGAAAATGGTATATATTTAGACGATAAAAAACGTAAGAATATCGTTATATAAATATTTTTTAAATTAAGATAATAGAGAGAGAGGTTTCGGCCGACGTTTTCATCTGTAAAACGTGAACGTCGAACGTCGAGCGCGGCGCTCGACGTTCGACGTTCACGTTTTACAGATGAAAACTTCGGCCGAAACCTCGCTTATATTTACACTAAATAATTATTATAAATTATAATATTTCAGGAAGAAAAGTTATTAAAAAGAAGTTGTAAGTATTTTAAATAGTTTTATAATTATTAATTTGCATTAGAACAATACTTAAAGAGTGTTATTGTAGCTTCTCAATGCGATACTACTGTCAAGAATATAGAGGGATGGATATATACTCCTAATTATCCGTCCGATTACGATAATTATCGAACGTGTATATACGTAATCGAACGTGCATCTAGTGATGTATGTAAAGTAGAGATGACAGTTATCGATTTCGATCTACAAGACGATGACGGATGCTTCAAGGATTATTTGGAGATTCAAGATGGACGCCAAACACAAAGATTATGCGGATCGTTAGCAACAGGAACTAAAAGTAATGTTTATTGAATATTTAAAATTATGTAATTTAAAACGTTTAATATAAAGCTTTCCCTACAGAAACTTTATTTTTTCCTCCTGGAGTCAATACAATCACATTGAGATTTCAAAGTGATTCAGATTTGACCTTCAAAGGATTCATGTTACATCTGAAACAAACGAAGGATTCGTGTTACGACGTACATAAACCTATTTATCCGAATCCTTCGGACGGGCATAAACCTATTTATCCTAATCCTTCGGGTGGACATAGGCCTAGACCTACTTATCCTGATGGAGGACATAGACCAGGTCCTTCGGGTGGAGAGAAACCTGATGGTAATTATTTATTTATGGAAATAAATGAAAGTGGATTATTAATTAACATATTATTTCTTTTATTTTATTAGGAAAACCGAGTTGTGATAAATTTATAGATACATTTAGCGGTCGAATTACATCGCCAAATTTTCCAAGTGGATATCCGCCCGGTCAAATATGCAAATATATAATTCGACGTGTGAATTATAGAGTATGCAAAATACAATTAATATTTAAAACTTTTCATATTGAACCGAGTGGCAGTGGTTGTACTAAAGATTATTTAGAATTACCAGATAGAAGTAGATTATGCGGTCACTACGCTCCTAGAAGTAAGGTTTTTGAATTAATTATCCGAATACAAGTCAACCCCCCTATAACACTGTTAATTTTTCTGTTTTATATGAATTCCATGTTGTACGAGTCACTTAAATTTTACAAATACATGAGCCGTTCACAACCTGGCACACGTATTTGTAAAATCTAAGTGACTCGTACAACATGGAATTCATATAAAACGGAAAAATCAACAGTGTTATAGGGGGGTCGACTTGTAAATTATAAATTTAACGTCCCTTAATTTAAATTTTCATTAACTTTTTTTAAAGAAATATTTGAATTTTCATCCGGAAATGATATTCTCTCATTGAAATTTATGAGCGATTATTACGGATCGGGACGTGGATTTGATATCGAAGTGACGCAAATTCCGGATTCCTGTATATATCCACCGCATCCTCCTGTTTCACCTCGTCCAGGTAATCATCTATATATATAAATAACATTTTAAATATAAAGTTTTAATGCTATATTGTTTACAATTTAGGTCGATGTGATCAAGAAGTTATCGGTTATAGTGGAAGATTTACTTCACCTAATTTCCCTGCTTACTACGGTGCCAATGAATATTGCATTTATACAATAAGACGACCGAATATTGAAGTATGCGTTGTCGAACTTGAATTTAAAGTGTTTGATGTAGAATACGGCGGATCAGTTTGTTCACGCGATCATTTAGAACTTCCTGATAAAACTCGATTATGCGGAAGAATTTCTGGAACAAGTAAGACCAAAATACTGTAAAATATATACGGTGGAAACTCGATTATCCGAACTTGGTTGGACCAGGAATCTTTCGGATAATCCAGAAATTCGTTTGTTTTTGTTTTTTGGATACATAAAGTCCATTTAAAATTTTACTAACCATAAATACAGTAAACCCCCTATAACACTAGATAATTCCGTGTTATATGAATTCCATGTTGTACGAGTCACTTAGATTTTACAACATGGAATTCATATAACACGGAATTATCTACAGTGTTATAGGGGGTCTACTGTACTTTAAAGTAACTACTGTATTTGAAAGTAAATTAATTTATTCAAAAATCTAACGTAATGTTTCGTATATGACCTAGTTTCGAGGCGCTACAATCGATAGATGTATTATGTTAATTTCCAGTTAAATAAAGATCTCTGTGTATATTCTGTGGTATGTACAATGCTACACGTTCAAACCGTTTTGGATAATCGAGTTTCTACTGCATATATATATATAACAATTTTATGATTAAATTGTATAATTTTTAATGAAGGGCAAATAAAATATGAAGGAGCAGAAAAGAGTCTAATATTAAGATTTTCCAGTAATGCTTATAGTTCTGGAAGAGGTTTTGATATTCGTGTGTTGCAGAAACCAAATTCATGTCCAACTAGCCCAAAAGGTATTATTTGTCTAGTTAATTGTTCTAATTGTTTATCACATTTTATAAAATTTGTTATTTGTTTATATCTTTTTAGATTGTAGTTATGAAATTCGAGGCCCTTATGGTAGAATGACATCGCCTGGTTTTCCCAGAAGATATGGCCCTTCTCTTAGATGCAGATACACAATACACAGGCCAGATTATTCTACTTGTAAAGTACAACTGTTATTTCGTGTTTTTGACGTATCTTATAGCATCAACTGTGTTCAAGATTATTTAGAATTACCTGATCGTTCTAGAGTATGCGGTTCTTACATTCAGACAAGTAATTAGAATGAAATATTTTTCTAAATAATAAAGCTAATTTTATCAATCAGTTATCACTTTATTATTTCATTAATTAAACTAATTGATAATGATTATTTACAGAAACAATAGAATATCCTGACGAACATACTCAGACTCTTGTTATGTATTTCATCACTAATAGAGCTGGTAGTGGAAGAGGCTTTGACATAGATATTCGACAGTTAGCAAATTCTTGCAAGAAACCTCCTCATCCGTGTAAGTTGAGTAATACTATAAGAGTTATAAAATTAATATAATAAAAAAATAATTCATGCAATTTTGTATTCAGCATCGTGCGACCAAGCAATAAAATCCGAAACTGAGATAATTACTTCGCCGGGTTATCCAGCCGATTATCCGAGAAATGTTAAATGTTCTTACAAGATCCATAGTTTCTCTTTAACAACGTGTAGAGTACGTTTGGAATTTCTTGATTTTGATGTAGAGCATAGTTCAGGCTGCGTGGCTGATTATTTAGAAATTACTTCAACTGAAGAGAGATTCTGTGGAGCCAAAAAACCGGCTATTAAAAGTAAAATTTTCATTTTTAATAGAGAGGTTGCGGCCGACGTTTTCAACGCGAAAACGTGTACGTCGGACGTTCAGCGCCGCTTTCCTATAAGCCTAGAAGTTTGACAATGGCGTTTAGAACGTCGAGCAAGATTCTACTGACGTTCCAAACGCCATTGTTAAACTTTTAGGCTCACAGGAAGGCGGAGTTGAACGTCCGACGTACACGTTTTCGCGTTAAAAACGTCGGCCGCAACCTCTCTACTAAGTCTTATTCAAATTTCTGGGTTTTTATATTATAACTTATTTATTTCTATTAATTATAATCTCACAGCAGTTACATTTCCAACTGGTTCTGATACTCTTGAACTGGTTTTCAAGTCTGATGGTCAAACTACAAGATCTGGTTTTCAAATTAAAATGGTTCAACTAGCAAATTCTTGTTATAGACCCGTAGGTGAGTTAGAATTTTTAAAAAAATTATTTTGTTTAATTTTTATATATATCTATTTTAACTTTTCTAATTATCTAATACAAAAAATAACTTTTAGAGGATCCAAAAATTTGCGCTACTATAACAGAAAAAACTGGTACATTTACTAGCGATAATTATCCTCTACCTTATAACCCAGAAACGGATTGTTATTATCAAATCATTAAGTATAATAGTGCAGTTTGCCAAGCAAATCTTCATTTCTCGGACTTCGTTGTTGGTTCAGAAAACGATGCCACGTGTGTCGAAGACTATTTAGAGATTCAAGGAACACGCTATTGTGGTGTCAGGAGAGGAGAAAATGGTTAGTATTATTAGAAAGGTTTAGGCCGAAGTTTTCATCTCTCAAACGTGAACGTCGAACGTCAAACGCCGCTATCTTTAAGCGGTGCTCGACGTTCGACGTTTACGTTTGAGAGATGAAAACTTCGGCCTCAACCTCTCGTATTCTGCGTTAAAGAACTTAATAAAGTTCTTTATTAATTATTCTTTTAGTTGTGGTTGGTTTTCCTTCGGATAAAAATGATATTTCTTTGAGATTCTCAACTGATGCATATAGAGAGAGATCAGGATTTCGTATTGAAGTCAGCCAGATTACAGAAGGATGCGAGAAAGCAACAGATGATGGTATAATTACTCTTTAATAATATAATAAATATTCAAAATTAAATATAAATATATATAATTTTTTTCTTTTTAGAATGCGGTGGAACGTATACAAGCGAAACATTCCAAATTGTTAGCCCGGGTTACCAAAGCGGAACGTATAAAGCTAATTTGGATTGTAAATACTTAGTTAAGAAATCTTCCTACGACGTTTGTGCTTTAGAAATTAAATATTATATATTCGACTTAGAAGAATCGGAAGATTGTAAGAAAGATTATTTTCAGATCGGTGACATAAAATTATGTGGAAAATTAGCCTACGATTCGATTCGTAAGTGTATTAAATAGGAGTATAATTCAAAAATAAATCGTCTTAAATAAAATTTAATTATTACTATTATTATTTAGGTACTTACGAGTTTCTAGAAGACGAATTAACTTTGCAATTCCATTCGGATAGTCATCGAAATAGTGCTGGGTTTTTCCTGTCTGGTACACAAATAAAATGCTAGAAAATGAATTTATCTTTGTAAATATAAATATAAAATGCTAACAATTTTATATGCCAATGTGTGCTAATTAATTTTTATAAATAAACTTTAAAATATAGAAAATAATTTAATCGATATATATATTTCTTTTAATATGTCAATAGGTAAAATATTTCTATGCAGCAATTGATTTTTATACTCGTTTATCATCTATAAAATGTCATGTTTATATTTCATTTTATAATGTTAATATTATATATTAAAAATGTTCTTTGTTACAATAAATTAAATCATCATAAATCGCTTTATGACTCATTCGTTTCGTAAGGATTAAGCCTACATCTTCCCTATTCAACCCGAATAATAGCTGTGTTAAATACAGTATACACCCCCTATAACACTGTAGATAATTCCGTGTTATACGAATTCCATGTTGTACGAATCAATTAGATTTTACAAATACGTGAGCCGTTCGCAGCCCGGCACACGTATTTGTAAAATCTAAGTGACTCGTACAACATGGAATTCATATAACACGGAATTATCTAGTGTTATAGAGGGGTCTACTGTAGTGGCATCAATATGTTACGTTAATAAATATATTACGTCGTCATAACTTAACAACATCGTAATCAAAACGTAATCGTAATTATTATTATTTTTCTTGCTATGGTAATAATGGTCAATTGTATTGACAATTTTTCTTTTTGGTGTCATATTCAAGGCATCAAACAAGAGAAATGAACTGAAGTAATAAGGCAAGGTAATATGGGCGATCTATTAAGGAAGTATCCCTGCTTCTTGGCAGGACTTTCTTCTGGAAACTGGTTCCAATTTAAATGTTAGACACGTGAAGAAAATCTTTAAAAAACTCCATACGGCAAGTCGGTTGCATGAGAATTTTCAGTAAGGTTATACCACTCAGCCACTGACCAAGAGAGGTGTAGAAAGAGAAAATTCGTTATAAATATTCAATAGTTATATGTATTAGGTTGAATAGTTACTATGCAACGATGTTGAATCTTTTCAAGATTCAAGTGTACCTACTAAGGAAACCATTTAGGATACCTAGTCTCGATTTATTTCAATAATGTTACTTGGTTTAGTATATGACAGAGTTCGTAACATTGATAATAAACAAGTTTTGTAAGAACACGTCTTTCTTGTCTTTTCAAAAGTTTGGGAAATAAAATTCTTTCTCAAAGAAACTGATAGATTTTCTTTGAAAATCCTTAATTAAAAACTAACTTTCTTCACGAAGGCCTTCAATAGTTTCTAAAACATTAAATTGACAAAGAACTTTGAGTAGGGGCAGAAGATACAAAAAGACTTCACTTTTGAATCAGAAGAGATGACTATTCATTTGCTCCCGTAGCAAGTATTCTTTGAATTTGATTTTTGAATATAACCTTTGGTTATATACAGACAGAATACAGATTTAGTTTTTAAATTATTTTTAATAATTTTTATATGTGTATATACGGTATTAATTAAAGGCAAAATATTCTGTCACCATCACACACAAATTTACAATTTGAAAATTTCAAAATACAGTAATACCCCGAACTTACGCGATAGGTGGGACCGAGCGATAACCGCGTAAGTCGGGGTATAATTTCGCATATAAATGCATACAAATAATTTTTAATTGGCACCAGAGACTAAAGAAAACAATAATTTAGAAAAAAAATGTTTAATAAAATCTTAGATAATACATATGTATAACAAATTAGGCCTATATTATTTTACAATTTTTCACATTTACTCGATTATTACGCCATAATTTTAACATTGTTTCCGTCTCAGCGATAATACCGTGACGTTTACGAATGATGCTTGAATTTAAAGATTGAGCATTTTTCACAGCTTCGAGAATTTTTTCTTTGCCTTTTATAATTGTTCTGACCGACAATTCCGGTAGATCAAACTTCTTTGCCAATTCACAAATTTTCATTTTTGTATCGAAGTCTTTAATAATGGGTACGTTCGTAAAGTCAAACGAGTTAAACGCGTTAGTAACGAATCGTTCGAAAAGTCTAACGAAATAGGAATAACGATGACTTCATTCTCGCTTAACTCGTTCGACTTTACGAACATACCCAATGTTAACTTTACATTCCAAAGATAAAGTTTTTCTTTTCTTGTTTGATGCAGAAGAATTAGTTCTACTTCGTTTGGATGACATAGTAGAGTCTCTCAAGTCTCCGTAAATATAACAAACACAGAAATAAATAACACAAAATAAATTGTAGCTATGTGTCGATTCTGCGCGATACATCCGAACATGTAAGCTGAACAATAGTGTGTGGGGAGTGAGTAATCGAGGGTTGCGTGGCGCTCAAACAAAAGACGAATCGACGAGATTTGAAAATCGCTTAACTCCGGGTTCGCGTAAGTCGGGGTATTACTGTAACTTTTAAATGATTTTTTTTTATTTTAATGACGTTTTAATTTTCAAAATTGATTTGATTTTATTTTTAATTTATTTAATTATTATTTTATTGGGCTGCAATGTGAAAAAATTGTAGACTTATAAATTATGACTGTCGTCCGTCCGTCTGTATTCCTTAATTTCGATAACGGAATTAGAAAGACGAAAGATGAGACGAGATATGGAAACTTTAGAAGCCACAGGCCCCTATTAACTATACAGGAACTTCCCATGCAAAACGCAAGTCACGTTATTCACTTCAAAACTTTTCACCTGAAAGCAGTTAAAAGATGATTGGCGTAACACTATTGTCAAACGAAAAGTATGATGTACAGGGGCAGGACATTACTAATTTGAGGTGGAGAGAATATGTTTTAAATGAAATAAATTAAAAATGTGGTTAAACATTGCAACCCCCCTTGGTACAGAGCTGTACAATTACATCTAAAAAGAGTTCTCCACATCTGGAAACCATTAAATGCAATGCTTCTTACATGTTTTAACAGAGGAAAGGGAAAGATTGTCATTGACTCCCAATCACTAACCCCTACTGCCCACTTGCCTCTTTTCGCCCTCCTTAGATTTACTCATTGCCCACATGGGACGGTAGCGCCCACTTTGGGAACCACCGCGTTAGATGACAACCCCACACCATGCGTCCAGAGTACGATGCCGGAAATCTTAAATTGGTGCTATTAAATCTTGGTAGTTAAAGATCGCGGGGTCGCATGTAATCTCTCGATTGGTGTCGGACTTTATTCATAATCAGCATTTACAATACTTAATAATTATAATTTGTATGTACTGTACAGTACAACATCCCGGATGCAAATCGAACAATAAGGTTGAATTCCGATAAATGTTAACTCCAGCAAAACAATATGTCAGAAGTGGGGTTCGAACCCACGCCCTCATACGAGGACCAGATCTTAAGTCTGGCGCCTTAGACCACTCGGCCATTCTGACACGTTGTAACAGTATCCTAATCTCTTTATTATCAAATCGAAAAGAGATCGTTATCAATCCTGTCTACGAGTTTCTCATAGGTAAGATCTACTGCAATAATCTTTTGTGTAATAACTACATAAGAATTTCCGATGCAAACCGAAAATCACGTTATTTCAAATCAAATACTTCCCCTGAAAACAATTAGATAGATGACCGGCATGACTGTTTCTACAGGAAAAGTATGATTTATAGGGGCAAAACACTACCGATTACGTGCCGGATAAATTTTTAATTTAACCCCCTACACGCTTTTTACTTCGGGACATGGATATGGAAAGAATTCTCTATGACGAAGAGTCATCTGAAGATGAATCTGATAACCGTGAAACAAGAAATGAAAACACTGATACAGAACAGGAAGAAGAGCTTGAAGAGGAACAAAATATGATACCTTCAATTTTTCAACAAAGTGAAAACATGTTTTATATAGGACGTGATACTATTACCCGTTGGAATAAACCTCCAACACTGCGACTAGGACAAACAAAGAAGCATGACAAAGTAATGCCCCATAGACAATGCCAAAAAAGCAACATCCATAGTAGATTGTTACCTGTAGAATGCAAAAAATCTTCTGCAAAACATAAATTGCATTGTTTTCACTTTTACATACAGTTTAATTGTATTTTTAAAGCTAAACTGATAAATTATATTTATCAAATTATACATTTACCATTTTTTCATCAATTTTATTTATACAAAAATAGAAATCCATAAAATCTACATTATGCATTACAGATGACATTTTCCTGCATTTTCTTTTATTTTATTCCACATACAGGGGGATGAGTGCATACAACATCCATTGCTTCTTCAATTTTACTAAGAGGCACTCCCTCATTACAGATATTTGCCAGTTTGTAGAGATGACGTAAAAGGTATTCATTCTATATAAAAATAAACATTTATTAAAATTATATCTTTTACTTAGGAAACAACAAATAATATAAAAGGGCATTCACAATGAAAATTATGTATAAATTTAAAACCTTGCATCTATATTATTTAATGCAACCTTTCACAATGAGTTACATAAGTGTAATCTTAAACTTAATCATAAGACATTAATATAAATGAAGTTTGGAGTTTGCGAACTTTAAGAGTTTACGAATTTCAAGTTTTTGTACTTTTTACATGGTTTAAAACAAGAAATAATGCCACCGATGCATCCCACCGATGAATTTTTCTCTGGTTCAACAGATAAATACCTCATCACCTGTTGCTTGCACTTTTAAGTTTTCTGATGCAAAACACTTAACATGCTTCAGCGTTACTTATATTCATTAACTGCACAGCTATACTAACTTTAAATCAAATTATCACACAAACATCAATCTGTTTCATGACCACTAGATTAAAATATTAAATAATACTTGAATTTTATATTTTAAAGTGCGCTATTGACTGCCTGCACACATGCACTGCACACCTATCAGAAGCAGTTCTGAGTACAAAATGTCAAAAGTGATAATATACAAAGTGCCATGTGATTAAAAAATACCATTTACATTAAACGAAAAGTTTTACAACAGAGTTGTTAAGTCTGCGATGTTGTACAGATTGCATGTATCAAGTAATGGCAAAATCTTGGATTGAAAAAACGAGGACAATCAGCATTACTCGTGGGATTGCTTTACCTGATAGTATTAGGAATGGGCATATAATAGTTAAGAAACATTACAGAGAAGCTTATGGAAAATAAACTTAGATGGCTTAGGCATGCAGCTAGATAAGGAAAGAATAAATTGATTAGATGAATTAACAACTTAAAAAAAGAAGAGATAGGACAAAGAACAGTTGGGAATTAGCTGTTACAAATATTTAAAGGGTTACATCAAAACTATAGATCTTCAATTAAAACAAACAATCTGTAAAAAGTACCATATTTTGAAAGTTAAAAAACATATAGCGTAGGCATTCCATAATTATCTAAAAAAGAAATTGCAAAAATTAAAAATCATAATCATATAATTAATGAATATCTTACCTTGTTATAATTAAAGCATTGTTTTCTAAAATATCTAACTGCTTCATAATAACAGTTACGTTTGATTCCATTTGGTCTCAAATGCATTCGATTATACGTGTCCTCATTGCCAAAAGAAAGATACCAGACAATTTCTTTCACCACATTGTCGGCAAATCTTCGATTCTATGGAAGATATCATATTTTATAATTTTGACCGTACGACAAATAAATATGTTTGTTTTAATTACATAAAAAGTTATGCCCANTTTGAAAGTTAAAAAACATATAGCTAGGCATTCCATAATTATCTAAAAAAGAAATTGCAAAAATTAAAAATCATAATCATATAATTAATGAATATCTTACCTTGTTATAATTAAAGCATTGTTTTCTAAAATATCTAACTGCTTCATAATAACAGTTATTTTTGATTCCATTTGGTCTCAAATGCATTCGATTGTACGTGTCCTCATCACCAAAAGAAAGATACCAGACAATTTCTTTCACCACATTGTCGGCAAATCTTCGATTCTATGGAAAATATCATATTTTATAATTTTGACCGTACGACAAATAAATATGTTTGTTTTAATTACATAAAAAGTTATGCCTAAAATGAAAAGTTTAAGTGTAACAAAAAAAATAAAGTATTTACTTTAAGTAATTTGTAAAGCTGTTTTTTCAGTTCATGTTTTTCTCTTATTGAATTTGTTCTCTCTATTTTCCTTTTTAGAATTTCCACTGGAACTTCATTACTTGGAACTGCATCAAACTAAACATAAAAAAACTTCTGAGAATTTAATATTTCTTTTTTAAGTGTTCATGTTTTACAAAAATTTCTATTTCTATACATTTCTATAGTAAAACTATACTAAATAATATATTAAAAATCATAGCAACGAGAACAAATTATAAAACCTGGTAATTTAAAAAGGAATACTTACAGGAACTTTTGGATATGTAATTGGTTTAGCTTGCTTTCTACCTTGGAATTCACTAACTGGCATCTTTGAAATTGTCTAAAATATATAAAACTATTCAATTAATAAACGTTAGAATAATAACTTTTTAGTATTATATTAAACTAGACTATTATTAAATTAATTTTCTTTTTTTAAATCAGCCATATCTAATAACAATATGAATAAAGTTTTCTTCATTCAATACAGCCGAAATTATAAATAATAAAAAAGGCAAAAACCAAGTATAATATAATATGTTAAATATGTTTTAATCAATCTTGTAAACTGGAATAACATTAAAATAATTAACAATACTGCAACATTATATGTAAAATGTGCTAAACTCTGCAAAATTTGTAAACATAAATTAATCAAGTATCTCAAATTCCAAAAGATGCTAAAACATTATTATATTTATAGCAATGTTTTAGTTATATTTATAGCAACATCTTATATATATATATACAGTCAATACCATTTAATAGCATGGCATTGGGACTGGAGCTTTTTGGGGCTACTAAACAAACATCTCAATAAGTTATGCAATTGAGATACAATATAATAAGTTATGTTAAAGAGCTATGTCAACAAACATCTGAGCGAAATAAAACCATTTTAATGACAAAAAATTATTTCTGTACTGTATAAAAAAAATCATTGTAGTACAACCTAGAAAATTGGATAATTCTGTTGCTAATCTTTAATTTCATGTGCATTGTTCTTATGCCGTGTCATACAGAATGATTAAGTGTTCTTACCAGATTCATTGTAAGAATCTGTCCAGTGTAACATGACATCTTTTGATTGACTACACTAAAATAAAATCTGTGCAGATATCCAGTGCGGACATAGGATTGCCTTCATTGCCTTCCGGCATGAAGTAGCGCCATAGTCCATCAATGAATTTTCTGGCATTGTGGCTTGTTACTGGCTCAGGTTCAGGAATGTCATCTTCAGACTTCTGCATCCTTGCCCTCACATTTCCATTTCAAGACTGTTCCTTGGCTTCCTTTGCAGGATGTCCATTCTTCTCAAAGTTTGTCTTCCTACTTTATCAAGCATGAGACTGTGTTTCTGAACACACCTGTCATCTCTGCCATTGATCTGCTAGATAGCTGGTGCTAGGGGGTTTCTTCTGATTTGCTCAATCAAATCAATTTTCTTAGTATGTGTCAATTCTGTTTGTGGCATTTTAAATTGAACACTAGAAAACCAAAGGGCAAGTGCTCTGTCTGCCTTCCAGACAGTTAATGGCCACAAAGACAAAAGTGGGGCGGGGAAGTGAGGTAGGGAATGAAGAATTTTTGAGAATTTCTGTCTCATTATTTTGTATGGCAGCGGTACACACCTTGTTGAAACATGTGGTCTGTATGAGTGGATGAGCCAATTTGACCCGATTGAGTGAGAAAGGGGAAGACAAGGCCTGCATTCTTAAAAGGTTTCTTGCATTTTTTAATCATGATTGACAGCTGATAAAGGAAATCAGATGGTGGTCATGTATGGAAAAGCCTAAAATATCCAAATTTGTGTGTCTTTTGTTTAGTTTACCAAGAAAAATACTGTGCCAGAAGGGCTACTGAGCAGCATTTTTGGGCCAGTAGGCAAAGTAAATTATGCTTGCGTTATAGGATTTGATTTTGTTCTTGAAGGTTTTGTCCTAATACCTGGCATGTCCTACTAACTGACCGGGCTAATAATCAGAATTGACTGTATATATATATAATTTTTCTAAAAAGACAATTATATTACTTACAAGATCTCCAAACTGTTTTACATGACTGGTATTTGTTTCTTGTTTGACAATTCTAAACTGTTTCTCCAAAGATTCTTTTGAAAGAACTTCCTAAAAATACAAACAATATCTAATGGTAAGTCTGCTGTAAAAAGCACTCATATAAACTCTTATGTAATAATTTCATAGAATCTTCTGTAAGAATAACAATTTTAGTCAATAATATATTTTTTTATATATTTATATTATATAAATATTATAATTTTATAACATAATTTAGAAATTAGAAAAACTTATACTTTGGAACTGCAATATATTGCTGTTTTGACATTATTGTGTACAAAGAAATATCAATTCATACCTTTGTTAAAATATTTCTGTTTCACAAATTGGTGAAATAATGAGATTTTGACAATGTATTGTCAAATGAATTAATATTCCTTACTACAGAAATAATTTACAAAATATCATTGAAGACAAATTTTTGAGGTGAAGTGTTAATGAAGCCTCTTCTATGTGGTTTACAGAATTGCCTTCATTCTCGAAATATGATCGATTCATTCTGATAAAACTTTGCCATTTTCCATTAATTGAGGAGTCAAAAAATGTAATAAAAAATGGGGTTCATGATTTTGTTACAAGGTCATAGCATGAGCGCATGCAACAAAGTAATATCATGCAAATCATGCAACTTTTGTCATGTGATTCCCAAGGTTGCTAGCATGTCTTTTATGTATCTTATACAGTAGAATTGAGTTTGTTCTTAAAAATGTAATAAAAAATTTAAGTCCATGACTTTGTTTTTCAGATATAATGACAATATCCATGCTTCCTGATGTAATTGAGCATGCCTAATGAAATTTAGAGACAAAAACATAAAAAACAGCATTGAGTATGCTAAATGGAAAATAGACACAAAAAACAAATAAAACACAGGAACATAGCAATTAATGCCAATTGCTTTGTTCTTGGATTGTCTCTCCACATCACACAGTCCAACATACTCCTCTTCCATGTTGGCAATTGCAAGGATCTCCTCTTTTATGGTGACAAGTGCAATGATCACCTCTCCATTGGTGGTAGGTGCAAGAATTGGATCTTTCTTTCCAGCTTGGCCTCAATTCTATCACGATACAACAAAGTCATGCAATGTCCTAGTTAATTTTTTAATTTAAAATTTTTTTTATAAAGAAAATGATTTCTATTTTTAGTTATACCTTTTCAGTGAGTTGATATTAAAAATATATACATATATGTGTATAATACAAACTTAAATCAAAGAAATAAGTATGTACGCAAGATGCAAAAGTATCTTCAATTTCTTTTATTTATAACTTTTAAAAATATAGTAAAGAACAAAAGGTAAATTTAGCTTTGAATTTCTGATACAATGAAGTTTTATTTACGCTATTTATGAAAAATTAAATGTTGTATGAATTAGTTCTGAATTTTTGGAGAGAGCTATAAATAATATGCAGAGGTGGCCATTTATAAAAATGAAATTCTCTTTTAACATTGTATCATGTATACATGTACAAGAAGTATATACAGTATATTCAACAATACAATTATTAAATCTTACTTTGTCTGAATCTTCCATCCAATTAACACTATATACATCACCCAAATAAGTGTATAGTTTTTCATCATAATAACAAGATGATGAAGATTCATCTTTATTTGCTGCAGTTGTAGCAAAGACTGAAAAATAAAATACTTTAATGTTTAAGAATTAATATATTTATATAACAATGAGTGTCATCATATGTGTGAAGATATAATAATATGTAACAAATGCAGGAAATTCAATCTTATAAATAAATTTAAAACCTAAACATTTCTGATAGATATGGAAATACCTATGGCTGTATTCAAAATTTAAATACTTGTCGCACTACCTAGTAAAGAAGAGGAAAAAGTTTCATAAAAAATAACATAATTGTTAATTTAGATCAGGGGTTGCCAAAGTGGTCGATATAACCTTATTGGGGGGTCATTGAAAAGACTAAAACTTTCAGATCAGGGGTTGTATTCTGGTCACTGTCTCTGGTCTCTCCTCTCTCGCAAGCCGGTCGCTGATTGGCTAATCCAAATGATTAGCCAATCAGTGACTTGCTTGTGAGAGACCAGAGACAGTGACCAGAATATGGCCCCAGAACCCTGCTCCAAAGCCAATTATTCTAGATTTCAACTACTTGAAATCTAGAATAATTGTAGTAAGAACAAATGATTAAAATACCAATTTATTAATTTTGTTCTGAACTTCATTAATAAGTCATAGATAATAAAGACTCACACACAAAATTTCTATTTAATATATTCATAATGTGTACACATTATGAATATATTAAATAAATCTTAAAATAAAAAGTCTTATCTAAAATAAAAACATATTTCAATGTACTTTTTAAATCAGCTAAAAAATTTCTGAATCATAATTTTAATTGAAAATCCAATTCAAACTGCTTCTCTTGGAATCAAATTCTAGCTCAATGTTTTACAAATTTCAGTCAATTATAAAAGTTTTGCTTATGTGCATCAAGTTTAATTCAATCATATAATACATAATTTTTACATCAACATTATACTTATTAATTAAATAAAAGTGCCTTATGTGAGTATAGATTCTTAGTGATGAATAATAAAAAAATGAATTATAAATTTGAAAATCCAACTTGAGAATTATGACAATATATACAATCTCAAAGTCCAAACTTAATAGAACAATTACTTATAATATAGGCTAATAGCTAATACATTCTGTACATTATACATTGTTGTAATTTTTCTTAAAAATAATTAATCCTGTCAAGATAATTCTATTATTAAATTTAGATTATAACATGGGTGATTCTTTGTGTTAAAATTGTCAATAATTTGAATGTAAATTATTTTGAAGAGCTTTCTGAACAGATATTAATAGATGTTTTCCTACATTTTTCTTACATTAACATAGTAAACTGAAGCAAAATTTCTGTTTTTAATGATTAATGTTCAAACTAATAACGTACAGAGATGACTAATCAATTTATTTTTTTGCTTACCATTAATATCTTTAGGTAAATCAATAAACATTGATCCTGATTCGCAAGCTTCTATGTAAAGCACCATCTAAAATCAATGCGCAAAACAATTTAAACTTTAGTTCTTATAAATTGGTCTTAACAAAATAACTTTTACAAAAATTAAATGCATTAATTAATTAAATGAAGATTAAAGAAAGGCATTAGTTGTTATGCTTATTGAATAAAAAAAACAAGTTTGCAATATTTATAATACTCAATAATTATTATGTACACAAAATGAAGTGATATCATGCATTTTTTCTAGAATTATAGAAAACAATTTAAGGTTTAAAACTGATTAGCTTACTTAATAAATTATTTGAATTCAAATATATTTAACTATTGAATAATCAATCATTCTTAGCAAACAATTAATTTTTAATTGATTTTATTATGCAATATCTCACCTTTGAATATTTTTTAGCAGCATAATAATCTTTCAAAAATGAAATTAATTGATCATTTGTAATGTCCTGAAAAATTTCAAAAATTTATTTAATTTTAAAATTGATTTACAAAAGTTAAAAAATCAATTTGTGAAATCATTTTCTAAATGACTTACCCCATTGTCATAGTCATTTTCTGACACGAAACCAGGAAAACAAATGAAACCATATGCTCCATGATCAGAAAAATAAACAAATACATGGTCATTAGGATTGCTGAAATGTATTCAAACTATTTATGTATAAATTTTTAGATATGTAACAATCAAAATTATTGCTTTATTTCAAATAAAATTCATTATTTTGATCTTTGTAAATTAAATTTTATTACAATTTGTATGAAATTGAAATACCTTTTAATAACCTTTCCTGAACCAACATTTTTCAAAGCTGTTTCATTTCCCCATAAAATGTTGAAAAAATTTTTTGGTAAAACATCCTTTAAAAATGTAAAAAACCAAAATTATAAACAAATAATAAAGTACAAGAATAATAACAAACTAGGAACTGTAAACAATTTCAGTACAATTTTAATACAAGTAAAGTGTGTACTCATATCTAGGATTTAGCATGCACAGATGCTCTATTGGAAATATACAAGATTCTTACCCTAACAACAGTGGAGCATCTGATAAAAACCATATCAACACACACAACCCTTAGCATATCATTGTAGATTATAATCACAACACGGTTTGCCTAGCCCATCTAAAGAAAAACTGTTAACTTTCAAACACAATTCTATCTATAAGATACTCAGGAATAGAAAAGACAACATTAGCAGACAGAGTTTCAGAGATATACAGGAAACCAGTGAAAAACAACTGTTTCATTTATGACTTGGGAGTGCATTAGTTCCACCACACAATCTCTCTGAATTAGATTTGCTGAAGAAAAAGAAAACACTCCACTGTCCTAGCCTTATATACCTGTGAGAGTATATAATCCAACTCAACAAGACTACTCTTATCAGATGTTCTCAGTAATACGACTACATTGAAAACCCTCAAGATATTCTATAACAAAAAGGGATTTTAAAAAACTAACATTTATCCTATGCCTGGCAATCTCTATGTGACAAGCAAGGGCAAGATGCATGCACTTCGAAACATTACATTAAGATCTGTCCAATCTTACACCAGTTCAGAGTGTTATAAAATAGTTACTCATTATCAGATTTTTACATGTATTATTACTGTAAATCCTTCACTGAAAACTGCACTTATTCATAAACCACTAATCAAACTTTTAAAATGCAGACCTTTAACATAACATTTAAGAGAACCAAATAAATTTGAAAAAGGTTTCAATAGTAGTGCCATGGTTTATAATTCCTCATAATTTAATTCTTAAAAACAATTGAGTATTGTTCAAAATGTCCTATATTTTAAATTTACAGTATTTGTTATTTCTGATAGCAAATCTCTTCATATTAATATTAATGAATGTGTCTCTGTTTATCCACTCTAGAGATTAAAGGAAAGTATCTACAGGGGTGCAGAGGGATCTAACTTTTCATAAGAAGCTAAATAAATTAAAATGTGATTATATGATTGATAAAATTGTCTTGTTTCCACAACATATTTACCCCTACAGTTCATAGTTTCAAGGCCACTGGACAAAATAAATTTAGTGAATATAACAAGCAAAATTATTATATTTAAATTTTGTGTTTTAATAACTTTACAAATTCTGATCATATTTACTTCTTGTTTTTCATTCTCAGTAATTTTTGTATTTAAAATACATTTATTATTTCATAATAATTTTATTTTGGCATAGTAACAGTCATTATTTTATTATTTAAATTAAATAATTAAATTTTCATTAATTAATTTGTAAAAACTTACATCTTTTGTATAATCCAATGGTACACCTTTGTAAACATTTGGTCCATGAGGGTGATTTATTATAACTCCAGGCGTTGGATTGCTAAAACAGAATAGCATTTTTAAAATAAATGTTTGATAAAGGAATTAGTTTTTAATATATTACTTAGTTTAAGAGTCCAAGAAAGATGCCATTCCAGTATCATATGCTGAAATCTATGATTAAATTTTAAAGATGATATTGCACAAGTGACCCTCATTCATGGGCAGACACTCTACAAATCTTTAAAGTATGTCATGCTGCATGACATACTTGGAATTACATACCTGAGAATATGTCATGCATAAAACTGCATGACATATTCTCAGGTATGATACTGATTTCATGATAAATTTTTTCCATAAGACTTTCAATATTTTATGGACAAAGAGCATATTCACTCTTCATCCATGCTACTATTTATATCAAAATAGCATTAATCAAATTCAGTTGTACCTCATACTTGACTGAACAATTATGACTTATTAGAACAAATATTCAGTTAATAACAAATATTTTGATTTAAATTCTGTCATCTGTAAAAAGTTTTCTATGCTAACTAATTTAAAAATAAAATGTGAAACCTTAGCGGTCCCTCGAGGATTAAGGAAAGGGATAATCTGTTAAGAAAGGGGAGCGTGTACCCCAAATGTCCCAATGCACAGGCATGCAGATAACTTCAAACTAGTATGCATAGACTTTGTTATCATTTTATATATTGATTAAAAAGATTACAACTTACAATGAATTGTGTGCTATGTCATTATACATCATGACAACAATCTGTTCATCAGGGATACCATGATTATGTAAAACTTGATATGCATGACAAACATCTGCCTGAAATCATTAAAATCATTTTTATTATATTAAAGAAAGAAAATGGAATAATTATTTTAAATTTTGAATATTGATATACTTATTTATAAATAAACATGTTTTTTCATAAACAAATAAATCTAGAATTATACCAAAAAGTAAATAAATTTTCCAAGATTTCTCTGAACAATAGGAAGCAATAATTGCATTCCTGTTCAGAGGAAAAAAAAACAGAAAAATTTCATTTCAGTATGAATGGAAACAAAAAGTAATGAAATGAATGATTGAAGGTAAGGTGTACAAAATTGCAAGTGGAAAAGAGTTACTGATCCTGATTGTAAATGCTTGGTAAACATGATAATGATGAGAAGGTACTCTAAGTCTACTTGTTTTAAATAAACTGGAATGTAAGCCAGCTCAAGATGTGTATTTGGTGGTTTATAAGCCTAACTATTAATCCAGTTCAAAGAAGGAGAAAAAAACAGAAGGAAAAGCCAGGGCATTTTCAAGCATGTATGGTGTTGGGGTTGGTAAGAAAAAAGTATGAGTTTGCAAACAAGCATTTACCTCTCTGCATGGCATTTTTTGAAAAAGGATTGCAAATCATATTTCTCACAATAAAACTATCATATCGAACCCGAATGATCGAGAAAAACACAATTCTCGACCAAATCAAGTCCCCGAAGAAAGGATGGAAAAAGTCCATGACTACATTGACAGCTTTCCAACAAGAGAATTTCATAAAAGAAAGTAGAGAAGAACAGTCTCATAAAAGAAAGCTTGCTGATCTAAATATAACTGAAATTCATCAGTTGTATCTGAAAAAGGATCCATAATCTCGCGTTTCAGGTGATTTATACTTCCGGTATTTCGAGATGAATTTCTACCTCGTATTAAATCACCCTAAGTTGGATAAATAACAAAAGTGTGACAATCTAGAGAAAAGACTTCATTTCCCGGCTATTACCGAGGAGAGATACAAGAAGTTGGATGTCATGAAGACACTACATCAATCTAAGGCGTAGTCATTCTTCGACGACACCAATGACAAGAAAGCATTAGCGGAAAGAAATCATGACGTTGAAATGTTGTGTTTTGATTATCAACAAAATATTCCATTACCCAAAGTGACACAGGGTGACGAATTTTGCAAGAGACAGTGTTGGTTCTATAACTTCAGTGTCTCATCAGCAAAGTCTTTTATGTTTACGACGAATCAATAGGAAAAAAGTCACCTTAGAAACCATTCAGTTTCTTATATCGTTAAATTAAATACAGCCCGCATGTGGATCTGGCAGCCATGTTTATGATGCAGAAGTCGACGGTTTGCGAACAGTTTTTATTTTAATTATATAGTTTTTACATATTTTATTCATTGTTTCCCTGTTTTAATCTATTATTAGGACATTAATTGTGTTATTTTTACCTTATATGGCGTATGTATTTGATGTTTTAAGTTTATCGGAATGAGTCTAGGAATGGTTTACTAAAATTGATTTGGATTTCGAACGGTTCAGTCCAAACGGCTTCCTGGAATGAATTAAATTCAAAGTACAAACACTACACGAACCTGGAGTAATTAAAATGCTTCTTCATATGAATAACTCATTTTCAAAAAACAGAAATAACAAGTAAATATACAAAAATAGAAAAGATCATTTGAAAAAAGACACTTATGCCTGTGAAAAAGTAACAATTCAGTTTATTCAAAGCTTGTTTGTTCAACTGTTTGATAAGATAAAGAACGAAAACTGATAAACTTCCTAGAATAGAGAAACTTCGAGCAAAGAGATAAATCAATTTTTTACATAAAACTTGCCAATATCTTGAAAACTGTTAGGTCACATTTTCTTAAATTAAACCTATTATAAAAGGTGTTTATTTTGTGGTTAACTACATTAATTTTATAGGGTTATTTCCCTGTAACCACTTTAGGAAAAAATTCCTACTTTTACCCCTTTCGATGCCCTATAATCATTCAATGTTTGTGTTTCTGGGTAGGAAGATAAACAATTATAATCTATCGAAAAAAAACCTTGTATTTTGAACTTAAAAATGATGTAAAAAAGTTTACATCATTGTCATTGATATTATGTAAACCTTTAAATATTTAAAGCATTTTTAGCTTAAATTAATATGGAGGAAACTAATGATGACCTTTAAAAACAGCTAAAAGTTATTGATTTTCTAAAGTAAAAATAAAATATTTAATTACAATAAACTCACTTGATGTCTATAATTGTCCCAAGTATTGGAACCAGCCACAAGAAGGGCCCATAATTTTCCACCCTCGGGTACAGAAGATGCGAAACTTCTTACTTCTTCGGGGGTCAAAGAAACAACCACTTTAATCAATAGAATAAAGAACAGAGATCGCATCATTTTTCCTTTTGTTCTGAAAAGAAAAACTCTAATAATCATAACGTACAATCGGTTTATAAATAAATTGTTTAAGTAGATAAAATCATTGTGAAAGAACCGACAGCCAATAACATTTTCTTATTAATCAATATTTATCACAGTTGTTTTAGTTTCTCATGTGATTATTTATACCTCGTGAATAGGCAAATCATCGGTTATAAGTCATCCCTTTCACGTGTTATATTCAACACAATTGTATCAATCACGTGTCGAGTAGTAAGAGTAAATGTCGTGTCTATGCGCAATAACTACGGATGAGAATACAGATGAGACTACGAACACTTTATTATTCGTTTATTTGGCTACAGTTAACGGTCACCGATCAAGCGCGGGCGAAGCACAGTTCAACTCTGTCCTCTTCCCGTTTTTTCCCCTCTACCTCTCCACTTCCGTCCCTAGCTCCCACACCCTCCAATAAATCTCTCGCCCCCGGGCACACACCCTGATCGGGTCGTATTCACCACGTGTCTCTCCCGATTTCCCCTTTCGCTGTTGGTGGGCCCACTTGTCGTTTGCATCCCTCACAGTAAACAAATAGAACGAAATTAAAACGAATTTTAATCTTAATTTGATATTTTTTATCTACGAATTTCGTAAATTAAATGATAACAAATTTCTTATAAGCTAAATATAAAAGGTCAAATATATATTCTTTTATCGAATGATCGGCAATACAATTTATAGTTGTGTAATCAGTAGACAGCGGATTTTAGGCAAATGCCTATTTTTTTCCTTGTCATATACATGGCTAAAATTTTGTATGAACACTTTTCATGAACATTTAGACCGATACAATGGTATTTTATAATGCCTAAAAATGCTTATTTTGACGTTTCTGCATATTTTTACCTAAAACACAAAGTTTAGTCTGTTTTCATATTTTTAAAAAGTTTTTATTAATATTTCGTTTCATTTTCCTCAAAGGTTTACTTTAATTCTTAAATTAAACTTCTTAAGTTTCATTTTTTTCCTGAAAATGCAATCAGACAGATTCATTTTTTTTATTATTATTGATTACTTATATTTTAAGTCCCAGTGGATGCATATCCCAAGCAGAAAAAAATAGAATGCAATAATAACGGAAATAAATTACACCCCCTAATGCAATTTTATAGTAATAAAATTAAAACTATATGAAATATTTTAAAATAAATACAGTGGGTGATCGGTTAACGAACATAATCCGTTCCAAGACTTTGTTTGCTATCCGAATTGTTCGTTAACCGATTATCGATTTACCATAGGTTTTAATGGGAATTTAATTAATTCGTTCCGGAGACCCCCAAAAATAAAAAATATATACTTTCTTACTACGTTTATTTATATGTAATAATAAAAATACATCCATACCCAGTCTTGCATTTTTATTAGTCATGTTTTTTTTCCGTTTGAAAGGGTTAAATAATCTGTCTAATGTCGATTGCTTTTCTCTCTTCAGGATTTTTCGTAAGTAGTTATTAATAGCATTGCAATTGTAGAAATCCCCAAGCCTCAACCTGGTTTGGATGCCATTCTATGATCGTTATTTTGACATCCTCCTACTACTACAAAAGATCTTTAATAACAGATATCGGCATTAATCCTCTTTTTCAGAAGAAAACATATCTCGCCGAGTTTCTTGGTGTTCTTCATTCAAGAGTTCTTGGCGTTCTTCTGTCGTCAGATCCGTTTCAGATTCCATTATGAACTCTTCGATGTTCTTTATATCTCAGATGTGATTTTTGTTACTCCTTTAGCTGCTTGAGTCTTCTTGATAATACAGTATCTTTCTTAGATAAGATTTAACTACGGCCTATTGTAGACCTGTTCAAGCCATACTGCCCAGAAACATTAGGCATCTTCTGCCCACTCTCTACCTTTGCTATTATACTCTGACCTTTCGAAAAGAAAAACAGACGCAAAACTTAACGAGTGCCTACCCGACAGTCTCGCGAATACATAAAAAAATTGTTTTGTCAGAAAAATAAAAGGCTGGAATTACAAGGGAGAGTTTCAAAGTTCGGAGGAATACTATCCGATCGGTATATACCGGCTTGAGCGTCGATGTCGACGTCTCTCACACTCCGAAAGGTTTCGAATTGTTGCCCGAAGACAAGGGAAGACCAATCGGTATTCATTATTTTACGTCGCTTCTTCTTGTGTTTGTTCTATGGGGTGTTCGTTATTCGATCATGTGTTCGTTGTCCGAACATAAAAATCTTTCGCGAAAGTGTTCGTTATCCGATTTGTTCGTTGTCCGAACATAAAAATCTTTCGCGAAAGTGTTCGTTATCCGATCTGTTCGTTAACCGATCACCCACTGTACTTTTATTTAATAAACATAGCAGATGCTTTATTTGACATTTTTAGAGAGGATTTTAGGCAAATGCTTATTTTTCCCTTAGCATATACATAGCTAAGATATTGTACTAACTACTACAGTGAACATTTCTTCGATATCAAAACACTTCTGGCCACTTTAGCGGACAATGCAGTTTGTGTAACTAGAGCCAAGAAAATTTTGAATGATATTTATGTTCAGAACAGGTTGATGTAGTACATCAAGTGTTATTTCACATTCATACTATTACTGCTCTTGAAAGTAGTGGGAAACCTATATATGAGCAAATTGATCTCCTCAACAGAGCAAAGCAGAAATTTTGTGATGCACCAGGCACTGCTGCAAAAAAAAAAAAAAGTGAAGAAAGAGTTGAAAGCAGTGATTCAAAAGAGACTTGGATTAAAGTGCATGTTTACTGTGGCTGATATTTTGGCAGGAAAGAAGAACAAAACTAAAAGTAAATTCCAAGTTCATCTTCTTCCAAGGTTGAAATATTGTCCGTTATCTTCAGTAGATGTGCTCCACATCTACTGAAGATAACGGATTATATGCTCTTTCTCTGCATATAAATTAATTCTCAGTGACAAACGTTGCAACTTTTCTATTGAAAATTTGGAAAAAGTGCTTGTAATATACTGTATTATGAAGCTAACTATGGGAAACAGAGCGAATAAAAATTGCAAAGATAATTGTTTGTCTACTTTTGTATTTGCATCATTCTGAATACGTGCATTTTTGTTTGGAATACGTATGTTAAATAAAAAACTCATCGTTCTGATAAGTAGGTTAATTGTTCACTTGTCAAATTTCGACCGCCTAATTTTTGTTTATAAAGCCTAAACGACGCAATTTAAGAGCTTATTTTAAGCGCCTAAAACTCCACTTTTGAGGGCCTATATGTCCGCTGATTACTAATCAGCAATACAGCAGATTTAAATTTCATTTGTTTTATGAAATTTTACACACCAGGAAGATGAATACTTATGAATAGAATAAAACTATTAGTGCGAATGTGATTAGTGATGACAATTTCCTGTGTAATAAACGTTTATTATCGTGTACAACTTCATCTTGCCTGGATACATGAAGCGATACGGTCTGGCATGGAGGCATACATGCACCTTATGTGAGGACCGGCTACGGTCTGCTGTGTGTTAAGAGTAACTGACCCCTATTCGGGTGTTACAGAAGTGGAGAAAACCCGGAAAAAGCCACATTGACGAGGCGCGAATCCACGACCGACTACAGTGTTCAGTGGTTTTATCCACTCGGCCATTCTTTTGGAACCCTGGGGAAAATATAGACTTTACGAAATCTGGACACGCCAGTCTCCAGTCTCCACTCCTCCTTGTCGCTTCGTGTTCGTGATAAACACAAGAATTGTAGGCAAAAATAACCAAGCTTTTAATACGATTTTCATTTTGACATTCTTATTTTCTGGTCGGGCAATACTCGTCATATCTGCTAATTATCACTAAAAAATAAATAATTATATATACAAAGGAGTAATGTTTCCTAGTTGTTGATTACATACCGGAATTGCTTAGAATTACAATAAACAGTAGTGTTAAATAATTTCTAAACTTTGTCGATAGTGTTGGTTTTTATAATCCATCTAAAATGTAAAATATAAAAAGTACAAGTCGACCCCCCTATAACACTGTTAATTTTTCCGTGTTATATGAATTCCATGTTTTACGAGTCACTTAGATTTTACAAATACGTGTGCCGGGCTGTGAACGGCTCACGTATTTGTAAAATTTAAGTGACTCGTACAACATGGAATTCATATAACACGGAATTATCAACAGTGTTAGAGGGGAGGTCTACTGTACAACTCACGTGTAATGAACAACGTTGCATTTTAAATTAAACTGTAATATGACAAAATATTTATATAAATAATATGTAAATATTTAATATAATAATGAGCATCAGATATGAAAATTAAAAACATTATAATGCTTATTATTGTTTTATAAAAACAAAGCAAACATTACGTAAAATATGAAAACTGACAAGGGTACAAAGTTAAAAGGGTATATAATTGGACAAATAACTAGTGTAGGGACCGAGAGGGGGAGAAATAAATAAAACTCGATTGACGATAATATGTGATATATATCGTCATCGTCTCCCTTGCCGTTTGGATTGCCGAGCGGTAACAATCAACGAGTTGTGGAAGCAGTTGAGTCAGAGATAGATGCTTCGTTTACAAACAACACAACCGTTTATTAAACACGAAAGAAGCTTACAAGTTTTCCGCCATCTTGGAAGTTCTGCGGCGGCTGCGGCCTCTGGGTCTTCCTCTCCTTTCCAAGATAGTCCCATTTTGAAGGAGTGTCCCTTGTTGGCGAATGAACCATTCCATCACGTCTCGACGACTCCGGGACGATGCGGTCGACTTCCGTTGATGGAAACATGTCGATCCGAGGTCGGGAGATGGAGACGAAGATCTCCATCTCCCGACAACAACAACAATCTGTTGTTGTTGGCGCGAGACACACACACAACAACAGATCCGTCACTTGGAACTTTCGGGAGAAGCCGTCGCGTCCACGAATTTCCGGGGTTTTATCTGTTTTCTCTCAGATTCCCCTTTCCGATTGTTCTCTCCTCGTCATCCGATGACAATCCGAAACCTTTCGGGGGCGCGGGAGAGGTCAAAATCGAAGTTTAATTCCATCTCCAACCGGAGATGGTCGACCGACTTACATTCTTCTATTGTTTAAAAGTTAGCGTCGCGTTTTCATATAAAAAATGTATTTCTAACTAATATATATTTTTTCTTTAAAACAATTATTTTAACGCGAATTTTAGTGAGGGTTCGGACCTGTCCAGAGCCTCACACTAGCTTTGTTTTTGTTTTAATATAATAATACAGTAGAGCCTCAATTATCCGACTCAATTGGGGACTGGGGTTGGTCGGATAATTGAAAAGTCGGATAACCGAAAAGTATGAAAAAATCCATTATTAGTGTAGTATATTATTATATCCCATGTAATTAGTATATTAGTATATCGTTATTAACCTACTTCGCGTTGAATTTTCATCGATGTTAAGCCTAACAAAAATTTTAAAAAATAATAATCGTTGCTATTGTATCGTTAAAAATTAGAAAATTAAGCCTCGTTTAAATACTGGCTCCCTTTCACGGTCGAATGAGAGTCGCCAGCTAAATCACGTAAAAATAATATTAAAGTAGCCAAGACATAGCCAAATATTGTAGCTCCACATCACTAGCGGACATTTGAAATTTGCCGACTAGGACGGTCGGTTAATCGGGGGTCGGATAATCGAGGCTCTACTGTAACAATAATAAGAATGATTCCTAAGTACTTCATCCATCTCTATCTTGATGTCCTGCAATACGAAATTGTGTCCTGTCACACATTTTCAACGCAAAACATCACTGGCTTATACGGTATTAATTAAAGGCAAAATATTCCGTCACAACCACACACAAATTTACAATTTGAAAATTTCAAAATAACTTTTAAATGATTTTTTTTTATTTTAATAACGTTTTAATTTTCAAAATTGGTTTGATTTTATTCTTAATTTATTTAATTATTATTTTACTGGGCTGCAATTTGAAAAAAATTGTAGACCTATAAATTCTGACTGTCTTCCGTCCGTCTGTATTCCTTAATTTCGATAACGGAATTAGAAAGACGAAAGATGAGACGAGATATGAAAACTTTAGAAGCTACAGGCCCCTATTAACTACACAGGAACTTCCCATGCAAACCGCAAGTCACGTTATTCACTTCAAAACTTTTCCCCTGAAAGCAGTTAAAAGATGATTGGCGTGACATATTGTTAAAGGAAAAGTATGATGTACAGGGGCAGGACATTACTAATTTGATGTGGAGAGAATATATTTTAAATGAAATAAATTAAAAATATGGTTAAAAATTGCAGCCCCTTGATACAGAGCTGTACAATTACATCTAAAAAAAGTTCTCCACATCTGGAAACCATTAAATGCAATGCTTCTTAAATGTTTTAACAGAGGAAAAGGAAAGATTGTCATTGACCCCCAATCACTAGCCCCTCTACTGCCCACTTGTCTCTTTTCGCCCTCCTTAAGGCTGGTATACACGTTAAGGAAATCCTCAAAGGATGTGCTTAACAGACGAAAAAACTCGGATATAACTGGCTGGATCGAACATAGTAATTTACAAAACTTATTAGAATATCTCCCAACGTATAAAGAATTATTTTTATTTAAAAATGGATAGATAGAAAAAAAAATTACGGTTAATCCTCAAAGGATTTCCTTACCGTGTATACCAGCCTTTAGATTTACTCACTGCCCACATGGGACGGTAGCGCCCACTTTGGGAACCACCGCGTTAGATGAGAACACCACACCATCCGTCTGAAGTACGATGTCGGAAATCTTAAATTGGTGCTATTAAATTTTAGTAGTTAAAGATCGCGGGGTGGGGAGATGACGGGGTCGTATGTCATATCTCGATTGGTGTCGGACTTTATTTATTATCAGCATTTACAATACTTAATAATTATAATTTGCATGTACTGTACAGTACAACATTCCGGATGCAAATCGAACGATAAGGTTGAATTCCGATAAATGTTTACTCCAGTAAAACAATATGTCAGAAGTGGGGTTCGAACCCACGCCCTCATACGAGGACCAGATCTTAAGTCTGGCGCCTTAGACCACTCGGCCATTCTGACGNCTCATCATTTCGTATGACAGGATACACACCTTGTTGAAACGTGGTCTGTATGATTGGATGAGCCAATTTGACCCGATTGAGTGAGAAAGGAGAAGACAAGGTCCGCACTCTTAAAAGGTTTCTTGCATTTTTTAATCATGATTGACAGCTGATAAAGGAAATCAGATGGTGGTCATGTATGGAAAAGCCTAAAATATCCAAATTTGTGTGTCTTTTGTTTAGTTTACCAAAAAAAATACTGTGCCAGAAGGGCTACTGAGCAGCATTTTTGGGCCAGTAGGCAAAGTAAATTATGCTTGCGTTATAGGATTTGATTTTGTTCTTGAAGGTTTTGTCCTAATACCTGGCATGTCCTACTAACTGACCGGGCTAATAATCAGAATTGACTGTATATATATATAATTTTTCTAAAAAGACAATTATATTACTTACAAGATCTCCAAACTGTTTTACATGACTGGTATTTGTTTCTTGTTTGACAATTCTAAACTGTTTCTCCAAAGATTCTTTTGAAAGAACTTCCTAAAAATACAAACAATATCTAATGGTAAGTCTGCTGTAAAAAGCACTCATATAGGATGTCAAAAGTGATAATATACAGAGTGCAATGTGATTAAAAAATACCATTTACATTAAAGGAAAAGTTTTACAAGAGAGTTGTTAAGTCTGCAATGTTGTACAGATGCATGTATCGAATAATGGCAAAATCTTGGATTGAAAAAATGAAAACAATCAGCATTACTCGTGGGATTCCTTTACCTGATAGTATTAGGAATGGGCATGTATAATAGTTAAAAAACATTACAGAGAAGCTTATGGAAAATAAACTTAGATGGCTTAAACATGTGGCTAGATAAGGAAAGAATAAATTGATTAGATGAATTAACAACTTAAAAAAGAAGAGATAAGCCAAAGAACAGTTGGGAATTAGCTGTTACAAATATTTAAAGGGTTACATCAAAACTATAGATCTTCAATTAAAGCAAACAATCTGTAAAAAGTACCATATTTTGAAAGTTAAAAAACATATAGCTAGGCATTCCATAATTATCTAAAAAAGAAATTGCAAAAATTAAAAATCATAATCATATAATTAATGAATATCTTACCTTGTTATAATTAAAGCATTGTTTTCTAAAATATCTAACTGCTTCATAATAACAGTTATTTTTGATTCCATTTGGTCTCAAATGCATTCGATTGTACGTGTCCTCATCACCAAAAGAAAGATACCAGACAATTTCTTTCACCACATTGTCGGCAAATCTTCGATTCTATGGAAAATATCATATTTTATAATTTTGACCGTACGACAAATAAATATGTTTGTTTTAATTACATAAAAAGTTATGCCTAAAATGAAAAGTTTAAGTGTAACAAAAAAAATAAAGTATTTACTTTAAGTAATTTGTAAAGCTGTTTTTTCAGTTCATGTTTTTCTCTTATTGAATTTGTTCTCTCTATTTTCCTTTTTAGAATTTCCACTGGAACTTCATTACTTGGAACTGCATCAAACTAAACATAAAAAAACTTCTGAGAATTTAATATTTCTTTTTTAAGTGTTCATGTTTTACAAAAATTTCTATTTCTATACATTTCTATAGTAAAACTATACTAAATAATATATTAAAAATCATAGCAACGAGAACAAATTATAAAACCTGGTAATTTAAAAAGGAATACTTACAGGAACTTTTGGATATGTAATTGGTTTAGCTTGCTTTCTACCTTGGAATTCGCTAACAGGCATCTTTGAAATTGTCTAAAATATATAAAACTATTCAATTAATAAACGTTAGAATAATAACTTTTTAGTATTATATTAAACTAGACTATTATTAAATTAATTTTCTTTTTTTAAATCAGCCATATCTAATAACAATATGAATAAAGTTTTCTTCATTCAATACAGCCGAAATTATTAATAATAAAAAAAAATATAATATAATATGTTAAATATGTTTTAATCAATCTTGTAAACTGGAATAACATTAAAATAATTAACAATACTGCAACATTATATGTAAAATGTGCTAAACTCTGCAAAATTTGTAAACATAAATTAATCAAGTATCTCAAATTCCAAAAGATGCAATAACATTGTTATATTTATAGCAATGTTTTAGCTATATTTATAGCAACATCTTATATATATATATACAGTCAATACCATTTAATAGCATGGCATTGGGACTGGAGCTTTTTGGGGCTACTAAACAAACATCTCAATAAGTTATGCAATTGAGATACAATATAATAAGTTATGTTAAAGAGCTATGTCAACAAACATCTGAGCGAAATAAAACCATTTTAATGACAAAAAATTATTTCTGTACTGTATAAAAAAAATCATTGTAGTACAACCTAGAAAATTGGATAATTCTGTTGCTAATCTTTAATTTCATGTGCATTGTTCTTATGCCGTGTCATACAGAATGATTAAGTGTTCTTACCAGATTCATTGTAAGAATCTGTCCAGTGTAACATGACATCTTTTGATTGACTACACTAAAATAAAATCTGTGCAGATATCCAGTGCGGACATAGGATTGCCTTCATTGCCTTCCGGCATGAAGTAGCGCCATAGTCCATCAATGAATTTTCTGGCATTGTGGCTTGTTACTGGCTCAGGTTCAGGAATGTCATCTTCAGACTTCTGCATCCTTGCCCTCACATTTCCATTTCAAGACTGTTCTTTGGCTTCCTTCGCAGGATGTCCATTCTTCTCGAAGTTTGTATTCCTACTTTATCAAGCATGAGATTGTGTTTCTGAACACACCTGTCGTCTTCGCCATTGATCTGCTAGATAGCTGGTGCTAGGGGGTTCTCTTCTGATTTGATCTATCAGATCAATTTTCTTAGTAAGTGTCAATTCTGTTTGTGGCATTTTGAATTGAACACTGGAAAACCAAAGAGCAAGTGCTCCATCTGTTCTCCAGACAGTTAATGGCCACAAACTCAAAAGTGGTGCATGGAAGTGTGGTAGGGAATGAAGAATTTNAAAAAATATAATATAATATGTTAAATATGTTTTAATCAATCTTGTAAACTGGAATAACATTAAAATAATTAATAATACTGCAACATTATATGTAAAATGTGCTAAACTCTGCAAAATTTGTAAACATAAATTAATCAAGTATCTCAAATTCCAAAAGATGCTAAAACATTATTATATTTATAGCAATGTTTTAGTTATATTTATAGCAACATCTTATATATATATATATATACATACAGGTCCATACCATTTAATAGCACGGCATCGGGACTGGAGCTTTTTGGGGCTATTAAACAAAAATCTCAGTAAGTTATGCAATTGAGATACGATATAATAAGTTATGTTAAAGAGCTATGTCAACACATTTTCTCACCAATAAAACAAACATCTGAGCAAAATAAAACCATTTTAATGACAAAAAATTATTTCTGTACTGTATAAAAAAATCATTCTAGTACAACCTAGAAAATTGGATGATTCTGTTTTTAATCTTTAATTTCATGTGCATTGTTCTTATGCTGTGTCATACAGAATGATTAAGTGTTCTTACCAGATTTATTGTAAGAATCTGTCCAGTGTGACTTGACGTTTTCTTTTGATTGACTGCACCAAATCAAAATCTGTGCAGATATCAATGCGGACATAGGACTGCTTTCATTGCCTTCCGGCATGAAGTAGCACCATAGTCCATCAATGAATTTTCTGGCATTGTGGCTTGTTACTGGCTCAGGTTCAGGAATGTCATCTTCAGACTTCTGCATCCTTGCCCTCACATTTCCATTTCAAGACTGTTCCTTGGCTTCCTTTGCAGGATGTCCATTCTTCTCAAAGTTTGTCTTCCTACTTTATCAAGCATGAGACTGTGTTTCTGAACACACCTGTCATCTCTGCCATTGATCTGCTAGATAGCTGGTGCTAGGGGGTTTCTTCTGATTTGCTCAATCAAATCAATTTTCTTAGTATGTGTCAATTCTGTTTGTGGCATTTTAAATTGAACACTAGAAAACCAAAGGGCAAGTGCTCTGTCTGCCTTCCAGACAGTTAATGGCCACAAAGACAAAAGTGGGGCGGGGAAGTGAGGTAGGGAATGAAGAATTTTTGAGAATTTCTGTCTCATTATTTTGTATGGCAGCGGTACACACCTTGTTGAAACATGTGGTCTGTATGAGTGGATGAGCCAATTTGACCCGATTGAGTGAGAAAGGGGAAGACAAGGCCTGCATTCTTAAAAGGTTTCTTGCATTTTTTAATCATGATTGACAGCTGATAAAGGAAATCAGATGGTGGTCATGTATGGAAAAGCCTAAAATATCCAAATTTGTGTGTCTTTTGTTTAGTTTACCAAGAAAAATACTGTGCCAGAAGGGCTACTGAGCAGCAATTTTGGGCCAGTAGGCAAAGTAAATTATGCTTGCGTTATAGGATTTGATTCCATTCTTGAAGGTTTTGTCCTAATACCTGGCATGTCCTACTAACCGACCGGGCTAATAACCAGAATTGACTGTACAGTATATATATATATATATATATAATTTTTTTAAAAAGACAATTATATTACTTACAAGATCTCCAAACTGTGTTACATGACTGGTATTTGTTTCTTGTTTGACAATTCTATACTGTTTCTCCAAAGATTCTTTTGAAAGAACTTCCTAAAAATACAAACAATATCTAATGGTAAGTCTGCTGTAAAAAGCACTCATATAAACTCTTATGTAATAATTTCATAGAATCTTCTGTAAGAATAACAATTTTAGTCAATAATATATTTTTTTATATATTTATATTATATAAATATTATAATTTTATAACATAATTTAGAAATTAGAAAAACTTATACTTTCGAACTGCAATATATTGCTGTTTTGACATTATTGTGTAAGAAGAAATATCAATTCATATCTTTGTTAAAATATTTCTGTTTCACAAATTGGTGAAATAATGAGATTTTGACAATATATTGTCAAATGAATTAATATTCCTTACTACAGAAATAATTTACAAAATATCATTGAAGACAAATTTTTGAGGTGAAGTGTTAATGAAGCCTCTTCTATGTGGTTTACAGAATTGCCTTCATTCTCGAAATATGATCGATTTATTCTGATAAAACTTTGCCATTTTCCATTAACTGAGGAGTCAAAAAATGTAATAAAAAATGGGGTTCATGATTTTGTTACAAGGTCATAGCATGAGTGCATGCAACAAAGTAATATCATGCAAATCATGCAACTTTTGTCATATCATTCCCAAGGTTGCTAGCATGTCTTTTATGTATCTTATACAGTAGAATTGAGTTTGTTCTTAAAAATTTAATAAAAAATTTAAGTCCATGACTTTGTTTTTGAGATACAATGACAATGTCCATGCTTCCTGATGTAATTGAGCATGCCTAATGAAATTTAGGGACAAAAAACATAAAAAAACAGCATTGAGTATTTTTTTACCGTATTGTACTATTTATTAGTACACGGAAAACTACTAGTTTTCCGTGTACTAATGAATAGTACAATACGGTAAAAAAATAGATTATCTGACTGGATCAATTCTTTTTAGAATATTTTTTATTGATATAGCATTGAGTATGCTAAATGGAAAATAGACACAAAAAACAAATAAAACACAAAAACATAGCAATCAATGCCAATTGCTTTGTTTTTGGATTGTCTCTCCACATCAGAAAGTCCAACATACACCTCTTCCATGTTGGCAATTACAAGGATCCCCTCTTTTAAGGAGGCAAGAGCAATGATCACCTCTCCATTGGTGGCAGATGCAAGAATTGGATCTTTCTTTCCAGCTTGCCTTCAATTCTATCATGATACAACAAAGTCATGCAATGTCCTAGTTAATTTTTCAATTTAAAATTTTTTTTATGAAGAAAATGATTTTTATTTTTAGTTATACCTTTTCGGTGAGTTGATATTAAAAATATATAATTATATGTGTATAATACAAATTTAAATCAAAGAAATAAGTATGTACGCAAGATGCAAAAGTATCTTCAATTTCTTTCATTTATAACTTTTAAAAATATAGTAAAAAACACAAGGTAAATTTAGCTTTAAATTCCTTATACAATGAAGTTTTATTTACACTATTTATGAAAAATTAAATGTTGTATGAATTAGTTCTGAATTTTTGGAGAGAGCTATAAATAATATGCTGGAAAGACAAGAATTTATAAATACTTTTGAATATATTTGAAAATTTACATTTTGTGTAATGAGTTGACATTTGTTACTAACATTACTTTAATCTTTGAAGAAATTAGAAAAATGTGTTTTGCAGAGGTGACCATTTATAAGAATGATTCTCTTTTAACATGTACAAGAAGTATATACAGTATATTCAACAATACAATTATTAAATCTTACTTTGTCTGAATCTTCCATCCAATTAACACTATATACATCACCCAAAAAAGCGTTTAGTTTTTCATCATAATAACAAGATGATGAAGATTCATCTTTATTTGCTGCAGTTGTAGCAAAGACTGAAAAATAAAATACTTTAATGTTTAAGAATTAATATATTTATATAACAATGAGTGTCATCATATGTGTAAAGATATAATATGTAACAAATAAACGACTTCCAACAATTTAACACTGCGTTGAATAATAACAATCCACGAAAAACCATTGTTTTTTATTTTACGCGTTTTAACAAATGCAGGAAATTCAATCTTATAAATAAATTTAAAACCTAAACATTTCTCATAGATATGAAAATACTATGGCTGTATTCAAAATTTAAATACTTGTTGCACAACCTAGTAAAGAGGAGGAAAAAGTTTCATAAAAAATAACATAATTGTTAATTTAGATCAGGGGTTGCCAAAGTGGTCGATATAACCTTATTGGGGGGAGGTCAATGGAAAGACTAAAACTTACAGATCAGGGGTTGTATTCTGGTCACTGTCTCTGGTCTCTCGTCTCTCGCAAACCGGTCACTGATTGGCTAATCCAAATGATTAGCCAATCACCGACTTGCTTGTGAGAGATGAGAGACCAGACACAGTGACCAGAATATGGTTCCAGAACCCTGCTCCAAAGCCAATTATTCTAGATTTCAACTACTTGAAATCTAGAATAATTGTAGTAAGAACAAATGATTAAAATACCAATTTATTAATTTTGTTCTGAATTTCATTAATAAGTCATAGATAATAAAGACTCACACTCAAAATTTCTATTTTATATAATCATAATGTGTACAAACTTATCTAAAATAAAAACATATTTCAATGTACTTTTTAAATCAGCTAAAAAATTTCTGAATCATAATTTTAATTGAAAATCCAATTCAAACTGCTTCTCTTGGAATCAAATTCTAGCTCAATGTTTTACAAATTTCAGTCAATTATAAAAGTTTTGCTTATGTGCATCAAGTTTAATTCAATCATATAATACATAATTTTTACATCAACATTATACTTATTAATTAAATAAAAGTGCCTTATGTGAGTATAGATTCTTAGTGATGAATAATAAAAAAATGAATTATAAATTTGAAAATCCAACTTGAGAATTATGACAATATATGCAATCTCAAAGTCCAAACTTAATAGAACAATTACTTATAATATAGGCTAATAGCTAATACATTCTGTACATTATACATTGTTGTAATTTTTCTTAAAAATAATTAATCCTGTCAAGATAATTCTATTATTAAATTTAGATTATAACATGGGTGATTCTTTGTGTTAAAATTGTCAATAATTTGAATGTAAATTATTTTGAAGAGCTTTCTGAACAGATATTAATAGATGTTTTCCTACATTTTTCTTACATTAACATAGTAAACTGAAGCAAAATTTCTGTTTTTAATGATTAATGTTCAAACTAATAACGTACAGAGATGACTAATCAATTTATTTTTTTGCTTACCATTAATATCTTTAGGTAAATCAATAAACATTGATCCTGATTCGCAAGCTTCTATGTAAAGCACCATCTAAAATCAATGCGCAAAACAATTTAAACTTTAGTTCTTATAAATTGGTCTTAACAAAATAACTTTTACAAAAATTAAATGCATTAATTAATTAAATGAAGATTAAAGAAAGGCATTAGTTGTTATGCTTATTGAATAAAAAAAACAAGTTTGCAATATTTATAATACTCAATAATTATTATGTACACAAAATGAAGTGATATCATGCATTTTTTCTAGAATTATAGAAAACAATTTAAGGTTTAAAACTGATTAGCTTATTTAATAAATTACTTGGATTCAAATATATTTAACTATTGAATAATCAATCATTCTTAGCAAACAATTAATTTTTAATTGATTTTATTATGCAATATCTCACCTTTGAATATTTTTTAGCAGCATAATAATCTTTCAAAAATGAAATTAATTGATCATTTGTAATGTCCTGAAAAATTTCAAAAATTTATTTAATTTTAAAATTGATTTACAAAAGTTAAAAAATCAATTTGTGAAATCATTTTCTAAATGACTTACCCCATTGTCATAGTCATTTTCTGACACGAAACCAGGAAAACAAATGAAACCATATGCTCCATGATCAGAAAAATAAACAAATACATGGTCATTAGGATTGCTGAAATGTATTCAAACTATTTATGTATAAATTTTTAGATATGTAACAATCAAAATTATTGCTTTATTTCAAATAAAATTCATTATTTTGATCTTTGTAAATTAAATTTTATTACAATTCATATGAAATTGAAATACCTTTTAATAACCTTTCCTGAACCAACATTTTTCAAAGCTGTTTCATTTCCCCATAAAATGTTGAAAAAATTTTTTGGTAAAACATCCTTTAAAAATGTAAAAAACCAAAATTATAAACAAATAATAAAGTACAAGAATAATAACAAACTAGAAACTGTAAACAATTTCAGTACAATTTTAATACAAGTAAAGTGTGTACTCATATCTAGGATTTAGCATGCACAGATGCTCTATTGGAAATATACAAGATTCTTACCCTAACAACAGTGGAGCATCTGATAAAAACCATATCAACACACACAACCCTTAGCATATCATTGTAGATTATAATCACAACATGGTTTGCCTAGCCCATCTAAAGGAAAACTGTTAACTTTCAAACATAATTCTATCTATAAGATACTCAGGAATGGAAAAGACAACAGTGGCAGACAGAGTTTCAGGGATATACAGGAAACCAGTGAAAGACAACTGTTTCATTTATGACTTGGGAGTGTATTAGTTCCACCACACACTCCCTCTGAATTAGACTTGCTGAAGAAAAGCATGATATTGATAAAAGAAAACACTCCACTGTCCTAGCCTTATATACCTGTGAGAGTATATAATCCAACTCAACAAGACTACTCTTATCAGATGTTCTCAGTAATATGACTACATTGAAAACCCTCAAGATAATCTATAATAAAAAGGGATTTTAAAAAACTAACATTTATCCTATGCCTGGCAATCTCTATGTGACAAGCAAGGGCAAGATGCATGCACTTCAAAACATTAAAGATCTATCCAATCTTACATCAGTTCAGAGTGTTATGAAATTGTTACTCATTATCAGATTTTTACATGTATTATTACTGTAAATACTTTACTGTAAACTGCACTTATTCATAAACCACAGTACTACTAATCAAACTTTTAAAATGCAGACCTTTAAAATACCATTTAAGAGAACCAAATAAATTTGAAAAAGGTTTCAATAGTAGTGCCATGGTTTATAATTCCTCATAATTTAATTCTTAAAAACAATTGAGTATTTTTCAAAAAGTCCTATATTTTAAATTTACAAGTATTTGTTNTAACAAGTAAATATACAAAAATAGAAAAGATCATTTGAAAAAAGACACTTATGCCTGTGAAAAAGTAACAATTCAGTTTATTCAAAGCTTGTTTGTTCAACTGTTTGATAAGATAAAGAACGAAAACTGATAAACTTCCTAGAATAGAAACTTCGAGCAAAGAGATAAATCAATTTTTTACATAAAACTCGCCGATATCTTGAAAACTGTTAGGTTTAATTTAAGAAAATGTGACCTATTATAAAAGGTGTTTATTTTGTGGTTAACTAGGGTATAGGGTTATTTCCCTGTAATTACTCTAGGGAAAAATTCCTACTTTTACCCCTATTGATGCCCTATAATCCATCAATGTCCTCATGTGTTTCTGGGTAGGAAGATAGACAATTATAATCTACAGAAAAATAGGAGTGTATTTTGAACTTTAAGAAATTAAACTAAACAGAACAAGTTTACATCATTGTCATTCTATGTCATTATACATCATGACAACAATCTGTTCATCAGGGATGCCATGATTATGTAAAACTTGATATGCATGACAAACATCCGCCTGAAATCATTAAAATCATTTTTATTATATTAAAGAAAGAAAATGGAATAATTATTTTAAATTTTGAACATTGATATACTTATTTATAAATAAACATGTTTTTTCATGTGAGATCTAGCTGGGAGTACAGGGTAGGTTTTTAGTGCACAAAATGAATGTGCACAAAATCAAAGTATATTTTCTAAGTGCAGACTCTGGACTTATTCTAAGTGACTCGTCTAAGAGCGTTGGTCATCAGGAGGAAAAACGTATGGAGTTTGGACACTTCCAGATATGTCTCTGAACTCCTGGAATTCGTACAAATTTCCTCTATATGTCACGATCGGCAACTAATCATCATGCATAAATTCCTCCGTGAGAATGGATGGAAAGGGGGATATGTGAGAGATAAGCATTTCCCATCAAAGCGAGAGTTTTCGCAGATAAGGGAAAAACAGAGGATGCACTAACTTCTGTGAAAGGAAGTAACATCTGTTATCTAATTTTCCCACTCTAAAACGTTATTTTTCTCACCCAAACGAAGTAATATTTGGGGACAATATTTTAACATTATTAATAAAAATTATTAAATTAGAACCAGGGCCTTTCAGGTCTGACATTCATAAACAAATAAATCTAGAATTATACCAAAAAGTAAATAAATTTTCCAAGATTTCTCAAGAGAAAAAGAAACAAAAAACAGAAAAATTTTATTTCAGTATGAATGGAAACAAAAAGTAATGAAGTGAATGATTGAAGGTGAGGGGACCGTTAATGGTTCCTCTAAATAGTTGAAGTTAGTCAGATCGCTCAATCCGATCGCATCCGCGAACGGAATCGTCGTGGCGTCGAGTTATATATTCTAGGGTTGAAAGAAGGATCCGAATGTCGTATTCACTAGTTTATTTACCGATAATTACAACTCTATGTACAGATGGTTAGAACAACGCCGATCCTGTAGACAAAAGTCGGAGAGTACGGGATGAGTTTCCGAACCTGAGCACGTCGATCCAAAAAGTGTGAACCTCGACCTCTGACGTCATGCGGGTTGGGGACGGTGGTCAGGTGCAGTGTTGCCGACCGCCGCAAAGGTAAGGTGTACAAAATTGCAAGTGGAAAAGAGTTACTGACCCTAATTGTAAATGCTTTGGTAAACATGATAATGATGAGAAGGTACTCTAAGTCTACTTGTTTTAAATAAACTGGAATGTAAACTAGCTCAGGATGTGTATTTGGTGGCTTATAGGTTTAACTATTAATCCAGTTCAAAAAAGGAGGGAAAAAAACAGATAAGGAAAAGCCAGGGCATTTTCAAGCATGTATGGTGTTGGGGTTGGTAAGAAAAAAGTATGAGTTTGCAAACAAGCATTTACCTCTCTGCACGACATTTCCTGAAAAAGGATTGCAAACATTGCAAATCATATTTCTCACAATAAAACTATCATATCGAACCCGAATGATCGAGAAAAACACAATTCTCGACCAAATAAAGTACCCGAAGAAACGATGGAAAAAGTCCATGACCACATTGACAGCTTTCCAACAAGAGAATTTCATAAAAAGAAAGTACAGGTATTTGCTTACTGATCTAAATATAACTGAAATGCATCAGTTGTATCTGAAAAAGGATCCATAACCTCGTGTTTCTTTATACTTCCAGTATTTCGAGGTGAATTTCAACCTCGTATTAAATCATCCTAAGTCGGATAAATGACAAAAGTGTGACAATCTAGAGAAAAGACTTCGCTTCCCGGTCATTACCAAGGAGAGATGCAAGAAGTTGGGCATCATGAAGACACTACAAGCTAAGGCGTAGTCATTCTTCGACAACACCAATGATATTAATTGTGTTATTGCTACCTTATATGGCGTATGTATTTGATGTTTTAAGTTTATCGGAATGGGTCTAGGAATGGTTTACTAAAATTGATTCAGACTTCGAACGGTTCAGTCCAAACGACTTCCTGAAATGAATTAAATTCAAAGTACAAACACTACATGAACCTGGAGTAATTGAAATGCTTCTTCATATGAATAACTCATTTTCACGAAAAGAGAGGTAACAAGTAAATATACAAAAATGGAAAAGATCACTTGAAAAAAAGACACTCATGCCTGTGAAAAAGTAACAATTCAGTTTATTCAAAGCCTGTTTGTTCAATTGTTTGATAAGATAAAGAACGAAAACTGATAAACTTCCTAGAATAGAAACTTCGAGCAAAGAGATAAATCAATTTTTTACATAAAACTCGCCGATATCTTGAAAACTGTTAGGTTTAATTTAAGAAAATGTGACCTATTATAAAAGGTGTTTATTTTGTGGTTAACTAGGGTATAGGGTTATTTCCCTGTAATTACTCTAGGGAAAAATTCCTACTTTTACCCCTATTGATGCCCTATAATCCATCAATGTCCTCATGTGTTTCTGGGTAGGAAGATAGACAATTATAATCTACAGAAAAATAGGAGTGTATTTTGAACTTTAAGAAATTAAACTAAACAAGTTTACATCATTGTCATTGATATTATGTACACATTTAAATATTTAAAGTATTTTTAGCTTAAAATAATATGGAGGAAACTAATGATGACCTTTAAAAACATCTAAAAGTTATTGATTTTAAAGAAGTAAAAATAAAATATTTAATTACAATAAACTCACTTGATGTCTATAATTGTACCAAGTTTTGGAACCAGCCACAAGAAGGGCCCATAATTTTCCACCCTCGGGTACAGAAGATGCGAAACTTCTTACTTCTTCGGGGGTCAAGGAAACAACGGCTTTAATCAATAGAATAAAGAACAGAGATCGCATCATTTTTCCTTTTGTTCTGAAAAGAAAAACTCTAATAATCATAATGTACAATCGGTTTATAAATAAATTGTTTAAGTAGATAAAATCATTGTGAAAGAACCGACAGCCAATAACATTTTCTTATTAATCAATATTTATCACAGTTGTTTTAGTTTCTCATGTGATTATTTATACCACGTGAATGGACAAATCATCGGTTATAAGTCGTCCCTTTCGCGTGCTATATTCAACACAATTGCATCAATCACGTGTCGAGTAGTAAGAGTAAACAAATGAAAATATTCTATACGAGTTCTTGTATAGAAAATTTTTTATAGCTTTTACGAATTTTAATCTTAATTTGGCATTTTTATCTACGAGTTTCGTAAATTAAATGATAACAAATTTCTTATAAGCTAAATATAAAAGATCAAATATATATTCTTTTACCGAATGATCGGCAATACAATTTGTAGTTGTGTAATTAGCAATATAGCAGATTTAAATTTCATTTGTTTTATCGTTTATTCACGAAATGTTACACACCAGAAAGAATAGAATAAAACTATTAGTGCGAATGTGATTAGTGATGATAATATTATAGCAAAGAAACAATTTCCTGTGCAACTTCATCTTGCCTGGCGATACGGTCGAGCATGGGGGGCATACAGGCAACTTATGTCAGGGCCGGCTACGGTCTGCTATGTATTAAGAGTAACTGACCCCCTATTCGGGTGTTACAGACGTGGAGAAAACCCGGCAAAAGCCACATTGGCGAGGTGCGAATCCACGACCGACTACAGTGTTCAGAGGTTTTATCCACTCGGCCATTCTTTTGGAACCCTGGGGAAAATCATTACACGCCATTCTCCAGTCTCCCCTCTTCTGTGTTTGTGATAAACACAACAATTGTAGGCAAAAATAGCCATGCTTTTAATACGATTTTCATTTTGACATTCTTATTTTCTGGTCGGGCAATACTCGTCATATCTGCTAGTTATCACTAAAAAATAAATAATTATATATACAAAGGAGTAATGTTTCCTAGTTGTTGATTACATACCGGAACTGCTTAGAATTACAATAAACAGTAGTGTTAAATAATTTCTAAACTTTGTCAATAGTGTTGGTTTTATAATCCATCTAAAATGTAAAATATAAAAAGTACAGTAGACCCCCTATAACACTGTCAATTTTTCCGTTTTATATGAATTCCGTGTTTTACGAGTCACAGATTTTACAAATACGTGTGCCGGGCTGTGAACGGCTCACGTATTTGTAAAATCTATAAGTGACTCGTACAACATGGAATTCATATAACACGGAATTATCAACAGTGTTATAGGAGGGTCTACTTGTACAACTCATGTGTAATGAAGAACGTTGCATTTTAAATCAAACTGTAATATGACAAACAAAATATTTATATAAATAATATGTGACTAATATAATAATGAGCAACAGATATGAAATTTAAAAACATTATAACACTTATTATTGTTTTATAAAAACAAAGCAAACATTACGCACAATATGAAAACTGACAAGGGTACAAAGTTAAAAGGGTATATAATTGGACAAATAACTAGCTTTGTTTTTGTTTTAATTAATATAATAATAACAATAATAAGCATGATTCCTAAGTACTTCATCCATCTCCATCTTGATGTCCTGCAATACGAAATTGTGTCCTGTCACACATTTTCAACGCAAAACATCACTAGCCTATATGAATTTGTTGTTTTTTTTTTTTTTTTTAAACTCTCTTGCTATACAGGCATTTCATAACGGGCCCTTCGACCAGGCCCTTAAATGATACGGTCTCGTGGAATGAAATCTCGTGTTTTTGGTTGTGGGTTCACGCCTCATCAATGGACTAGCCATTTGCGGTTTTCTGAGTTTTCTTCATCTAAGTAGAGACCAGATTCCTATGGAAAACTCTCCCGGTACACACTTGGCAGATCGTCAAGTGTTACATTGCATATTCCAACAATACAATTCCATCCAAATTTATGAAATTTTATATATGAAATATTTTAGTTTATTGCCTGGGCGAGCAGTAAACGAACGCAGGCTTCTGGAATAACTTTTGCGGTTTCGTGTCTATATTTTCAAAAACAATTCCCACGTTAGATTTTGATAATTTTGCTGTAAAAATGATCAGTAGTACTCTGGCATGTGTATAAATTACATTTAGAAAAATATAATTAACTCTCCTATAAGATATAATCAAAATACCGCTTAATTTTTGACGCTTAATAACAAAAAGGCATTTTTACTTTTTTGGATGCTGGTTTTTGGAATATAAAACCAGACAGTTGCTTTATACTTTTGCAAAGTTTGATAAATTTCGGTTGAATTATGTATAAGTTATCCTAGTTCAAAGAACAAGTACCCTTTCGTTTAAGTGTTTTTTTTGATTATATCTTATCTGAGAGTTAATTATATTGTCCAAAAATTAATTTTTTTATTACATTTCTTATATGTACTTTTTATCAACAATAAATCGCTTATAATATTTTATTTGTGACATTCTACTGCTCAAACTGCTCGCCCAGGCTAACTATATCGATAAACATCGTGAGTTTCTCTATGTAACTTACTTAACTAGTAAATAAAATTTGGAAAGATATACACACTAAATAACTATTCATAATAAAAAATATATATATATTATTTATTTTAAAACACAGAATTATCCTCCGTATTTATGTTTTTAAACTTTAAGAGACTATAGGAAGATCTTGAGTTGGATTTTCATGTTGGTCGTATTCTTTTCCAATGTTATATTTTCTTGATGTTTCTTCTAATACAAGTTGTTCTTTTACTACAATCACTTTTTCATCTTCTCCCGTATAATGTTTCATGAATAGCGGTACCAGTGATGAAATCATTATAATTACAATCATAGAAGCGAAACCTGCATAAATTGACACTATAATTCTAGAAATTTCAGTAGATGGTTGAAAATTTCCATATCCCATTTTAACTACCGTAAACAGTGAATACCAAATTGCATCATAATAATTGTTAATAGGTTTGGTACCGTTGAAGACCCTAAGCTGTGTAATTTTACCTATATCTATTATAACATGAGCCAATAAGAAACATATAGTTGCTGAAATGATCAGTATCATAATGATATCTTTATGCCCTTCGATAAATATTAAGACGAAATATTTAACAATGGAAAAATACCGACAAATTTTTATAGGCCTTAGAATTATAGAGAAGGAAATTACGTATCTGAATACTACGAATTGATTAAATTTTTTAGCAAAATATAAATGTAATATCGTTGAAAGAGCACAGAAAATTTCCAGATTACTTAATGGAGAAATTATAAAATTTCTTCTTTTTGGTGCCACTAATAATCTGATAATGTATTCTAGAATAAAAAATACACAGCAGAAAAGAATCATTTTTCTAGTCAAAGAATCTTGTATACTTTGATTTTTTAAATAAATTTCGTTGTTCCACAGTATTATTATCATATCAATCACGAAGACAGTAACAGAAATAATAGCGTAAACCTGCAAGAAAAAAAAATAACGTTATTTCATAAAAAAATTGCTGAAAATTATGATTATAAATACAGTAGAACCACCTATAACACTGTTGATAATTCCGTTTTATATGAATTCCATGTTGTACGAGTCACTTAGATTTTACAAATACGTGTGCCAGGCTGTGAACGGCTCATGTATTTGGGGTCTATTGTACTTGTATAAGAGGGCCTATTGTACTGTATTTCTGAAATGGCGGCTAAGGTAATACCATCGCTATTAAAATTTGTTTATGTATTGTTAATTAAAGTATATTTTATTACTCCTCTATGAGAACATGTCACAAACACCAGAATTCTATTTATTGGCTGATAAAGTTTACTGCTGCAACGTTTCACGTGTTTGTATTATCCACTGGCATAAAATCATGCGAATTGATGCAATTTTTATAATAAAAATCCACAAACGAGTTGCTTAACTTTCCCTGCAACATTTAAAATTGCGTGTGTGGTCATCTGTTATGATATTTTATTATTAAAATTTTTTTTTTGCATTTTTAATTATTATAAGATGGTAAAAAGATTAATTTTGAAGGTAGGGATGGATTTTATAAAATATTATAAATGCTAATAACGAGTAAAATCGTCATTAAGTTTCACCCTACTCGAGATACGACGCACGACTCCTCCTTTATTTTCCAACCCCTCTACCTTTAACCACCAAAATTTAACAGCATCAATGCCCCTAATACACAAATATCCCTGCAAAGTTTCAGAAATTTTTGACAAAGAGCACAGGAGTTATTAAGCTTCAAAGAGGGTAAACGAAATCGTGCCACCTCCACACACGAACAGAGGGGAAAAAAACCTGAATTTTAAGGAAGTTTTCTTAAATCTCTCTTCTGGAAAAATTAGAAGCGGAATTAATCTATCGAAATATTTTTAATTAAATAAAAAAGTATACATTTACGAACAAATTTAGTGGAGGAATCACAACAGTACAACAGTGGTTCGACTGAACCACTGTTGCCAGCAACACTGGAGCCAGCAAGTTCCCGAAAGTGTCAAGCAAAAAGCTCACGAATCATGATCAAAACAATTACTTTGATCAATCAAAGACAAAAGGCTTTTTGTCCTTGATTGATCATGATGTCACATGATCATGATTGATCATGATTGTCACATGCATGTCTTATCCTTTACCTCAAAAGTATGGTTGAGAAGAGAGGATCTTCATTAGAATTTCGAACCGCGGTTCCAAATTAAGAAACAAATAGACTATATTTTGTATTTGTATACATTTTTATATGAAAATTATCGTATTATACTGTACTTTACCTTTCCTTTATTACCACTATTCGGATCAGTCATCAATCTCCATAATCTATTATATAAAATAACTTTTTCTTTCTGAATCATTTTCACAATTTCCTTCTTTCTAAACATAAAAATGTTGGAATAACTTTTAGCATTAAAATATGCAAAACGACAACATGGTTCCAAATACGTTTCATCTATATTCCAATATTCCAATTCCTCTTGAATTCCAAGAATACAATCTTTTCTTATATGCAACTTCTTAGTATAATAAAAGTTAAGAATAACATCGAAAAATCTTGGATTTCTATAAAATATTACTTCTTGTTTTTCTTTAATGAAACCATCGCAATGTTTTAAGATTTCTTCAACACTCGATGAATTGTAGATCAATCCTAAGCGTGAATCTGGTAAAAGATTTAAACTTTTACATAATATTTCGTATCGAACATTTCCTACATTTATAACCATACGATTTATTAATTTAAATTTTTCATCTATTTTATAATAAGGTTTAAGAATCTGCTGCTGCGATACGTGGATAATACTAGATGAAATGTCTTTCTTGTAATGTTCTTCGTACTTTAAATCACGATACGAATCCATATAATCTAATTGTTCCTAGAATGTTATTATTAGTGACAGTGAATATTTAGTTTGAAATTTAGTTATTATTAGAGAGGTTGCGGCTGACGTTTTAGAGATGAAAACGTCGAACGTCGAACGTGAACGTCGAACGTCGAGCGCCGCTCGACGTTCGACGTTCACGTTCGACGTTCGAGCGGTGTTCGACGTTCGTACAACGTTTTCGCATTGAAAACGTCGACCGCAACCTCTCTATTGTTACTCACCTCTTCAATTTCCCATAAAAACAGATGATTTTCAACGATTCTTAGAAGTTGTTGTACGCAACACATCATCTCTTCAGTCTTAAATTTGTTATATCTTTCTTTATTTCTGCTAACACGTAATTCGTTTCTCAAGATATTTCTTAAATAAATATCTTTCTGTGTCAAATTATAATTTTTGACTCCAATAAAAATATAAAAATTAATAATCATATAACTAACAGCAGCCACTAATATACCTAATAATTTACTCGATACGGCTGCTGGTAATAGAGTTCCGAAGTTAATTCCACTTAAAGCGGCATTAATCGACCACATATGTCCTAAAATTGATCTATCAGCTGAATTATTTATCTCGTATACTTCAAAAATATACATAAATGTTGAAAATATAGGTACTGCTATTATTTGAAATATAATTGCCGATAGTATTTCCCATCTGCTTCTGTAGACGGTGAAGATGGTATTTTCGATCTTATTCGAGTAACGCATTAACTTTAATAATTTAAACATTATAGTAATAATTTCTAAGATGTGTGTGTTTATTTTCCAATTGTAATTTAATAACAAATTGATGAGACGAGTTGCTGTAAAGATAACGACGTAAGGAAGAAACGATAAGAGATCCAAGATATTTGCTACAGAACACACGAATTTCCACTTATTTTTAGCTACAATTAGTCTCGTTACGTAATCCATTGTAAATATTAGAGTTAGTGTGACATCAACTCTTTGTAGTATTCGATTATGCATTAAATGTTTGATTGTAATTACGTGATAAATGAATACAAAGACGTAAAAGTAACATAATATTCTGATAAAACGGTTATATGCCTGAAAAATGAATTAAATATTTTGTTTTAGACACTTCACAAATTACCTTACGTAGTAAAAAAAAATGACTTACAATTAATTAATACCAGTCGACCCCCCATAACACTGTTGATTTTTCCGTTTTATATGAATTCCATGTTGTACGAGTCACTTAGATTTTACAAATACGTGTGGCGGGCTGTGAACGGATCACGTATTTGTAAAATCTAAGTGACTCGTACAACATTGAATTCATATAAAACGAAAAAATCAACAGTGTTGTAGGGGGGGTCGACTGTATTTAAATACAGTAAAACCTCCTGATTAAGCGAGAAATATTAAAAAAATGACAAAGGGTGGTTTATTTGTATAAAGTTTCTAATGCTATTCAGTAGATAAGAACCACAAGTTTTAATAAAACTCAATATATTTCGGGTTATTGATCCATGTTCGGGACAGGGCTGTGGAGTCGGAGTCGGTATTGTACGTATTAAGTGTACAATAAATGATGCTAAAATTATTGTATTTATGCACGATTAAAATACACTAATATATTAAAAAAGAGGTTTGAAAATGTTACCATATAAAGCCTTTACTTCGGATAATCGGGGGTTTTATTGTATCTTAATAACAACGAAACTTGAAGTATTGTAGATACATTACATCTTATCCGAGGAAGAGCATACCAATTAAACCAATATTTACATAAATTAATCCTTACATTGGCGATAAAATAAATACTACAAGAAGAGTTATATTTAAAAAAATAAAAGGTACCTTTCCAATTTTAGATAACATCGGCATTTCCAATATCTCCCATATTTTATGTCTAATCTCACCCCAATCGGAATCGCCGAAATCCTCATCGATTATTTTATCCATAATTTTTTCTTGTAATTTTAAATCTTTTTTGGCTCTTCCACGTTTCATTACAAATCTATGATAACAATAATAATCCAAATTACTTTCGTTTAACCACCAATAATTTAGGATATGTTGAAAATCGAAAGAACACATTCTCTCGTCTAAATGAAGGGTGTCGTTGTAATAACAGTCGAGGATTTCACCGAATAAATTGCAACGATAATTGAAGAAGAATTCCTTCTTCTTATCATCATAATGGTCGAATATTTTATTAGCATCTTCCCACTTCTTTACCGAATGAAGTTGTCCTAATCGAGAATTAGGAAGTGTTTTCAAAATGCGAAAAGGGCAACTGTATTTCGTACCACCAACGTTAAGAATAATCTTATCTTCTTCTTTAAGCATAAATAAATTTGGCATAATTGTATGAGTCGTAATGGATTATCCTACTAGAAATAAACAATTGTCCGATTTATAATAATAATTATTTGTGCAATAATTGATAACAAAACAATATTGATATAATTTTAAAATTTATTATTAATTTAAATCCACATAATTGATTATTAATCATTCATTCTCCGTTGAATTTTTCACCATTTTGTCGTATAATTCTTTCAAGATACGTTGTTCAGTCGGTGTCATTAAACCTCTAAATAATAAAAGAAAATGATCTTGTAACCATTTTTAAATAATGCTTTTGTACTTTATAATAAGAAATAATAGAAAATGAGAGATTGCGGCTGACGTTTTCAATGCGAAAACGTGTACGTCGGACGTTCAGCGCCGCCTTCCTGTGAGTCTAGAAGTTTGACAATGGCGTTTGGAACGTCGACTGACATTCCAAACGCCATTGTCAAACTTCTAAGCTTACAAGAAGGCGGCGAGTCGCTAAACGTTCGACGTACACGTTTTCGCGTTGAAAACGTCAGCCGCAACCTCTCTAATATAAAAACAAACCTCTGTACGGTAGAAAGAGAAATTTTAAAGTCATTTTCCTGTAATTTTTGATATGTTTCCCATGCGAATTTAGAAGAATTAGGAATATCTAGAGGAATTTTTTCTAACATTTCGATAAAGTTTTCTGGCAATGATTCGTTTCTTGGTGGAGGCTTCGAGTTTACATCTTCTATTATCTCTGTAGCCATTTGCATCTGAAACTTATTTATGTAACTTTTATAACATACAATAAACAATTATTATTCTGAATGTATTCAAATCACAATTCCAAAATTTCTAAATATACGTATGAGGGTGTAATTCCTTCTGTGTTGCCTCAGCAGCATTTCCCAATCTCGTTTGATGAGATGCTATGGAAATATGGGCTTTCGAAAATGGCGAGTGTTCTGTTAATTTCTACGCTGGAGGAACACAGAAGTTTTCGATTGTTATAAACATCTAATAAGAATACAAGAAAACTTTCTCGAGAAATGAATACTTTGTACAGAAACAACTATCTATCAAAGCAGAAACGAAACGACGAGCATCCAAGATGCCCAAATTAAACCTCTTTACCTCATCTGTTATCTTGATTATCATCATTTTGACCTAATGAAGAAGCAATTTGAAAGTTACGACGATGTAAAGACATCAGGAGATTATGGCTGCATAAGCAACTGGAAACATCCTATGAGAGTTATATCCAAAAATTTGTGCCACGATGAGAGAAATGTTTGGCCCTTCTTAAGAACTACGTAGAATAATAGGATATAAACTGGACTTTCAAATGTATATTTTGAAATTCTCAGATTGTTTTAGGAAAATGCAGTTGGAAAGGATTACGGTAACCATAATAAAGATGAACTATCGATATACACAAGGCCATATCGAGGGTTTAAAACGTCTGATTTAATTGATGTTTTTACATAAATTATTTTCGTAATGCTCACCATTTTCCATCAGGTGAGCACTACCAGAGCTTCTTTCACATTCCTTCATTCCTCATTTCTTCAAGCCCACAATTGGACAGCGAATCAATCTTGGATCTATAGAGCGGTGGACTGACCGCATGGTCTTCCGTTCTTAATTTTTCCATTGATAAATTAGCAATGGCCTTCTTAAAATCTCGACAAAGCATTTGTAAACGTACTCACAAATATTTTTATTTTAAAATAAATATATAAAAATTACCTCATTCTCTGATGTGGAATTTATCATATTCTGATGAACTTCTAAAAATATATTAAAAATAATATAATACATTTATATTGAATGTAAAATTGATATTAGGCATTAATGCTAATAATAAAATTAATATTGTTTTACCATCTGAAAGTGATATTCTGGGAATTAACACATCTGTACGATGCTTGTTGATCGGTTGTGCAATTCTGTGAAATATTTAGAAATAATTTAAATTTTTACACTATTACACTACATAACTATTCGTATTCTTTTTTAGGATAATATCGAATTTCAATAATATGAATATTACATTAGTTATCTGTGAATTATTAAACTTAAAGTATAGGAATATTGACAAAAAGTGATAAACTTACTCCAGTTCTATTTCAGTCTGTAAGTTTCTTATAGTCATTTTGTTTGAATTATTTGAATATGGATTTACACGAAATTGTAATTCCTAGGAAATAAAAATAGCAATCTTATAAATCCTACAGATACAGTACAGATGTGTTTTATTTGTAATCAAGGCAAGACATGTTTTATATGCTGTGCACCATTCTCTGCTATGTTACAATAGCATGTTCAATTGTTGAATGTAGTGTATTCCTTGAAATGTTACGAAAAAGTTTTATAATAAAAATTATAAGTTACCTCTATTTTATTTCTTTTCAATTCATCTGTTTCTTCATTAACATATTTTATATCTTCTGATTTCTGACTTTGTTTATATGCTGAAAGTAAGTCGTTGAATAATTATTAAGTTTCAATTGTAAAGAATGTAATTATATTAGATGTACAGTCGACCCCCCCTATAACACTGTTGATTATTCCGTTTTATATGAATTCATGTTGTACGAGTCACTTANTTGTTAGGGGGGTCGACTGTATTTAAATACAGTAAAACCTCCTGATTAAGCGAGAAATATTAAAAAAATGACAAAGGGTGGTTTATTTGTATAAAGTTTCTAATGCTATTCAGTAGATAAGAACCACAAGTTTTAATAAAACTCAATATATTTCGGGTTATTGATCCATGTTCGGGACAGGGCTGTGGAGTCGGAGTCGGTATTGTACGTATTAAGTGTACAATAAATGATGCTAAAATTATTGTATTTATGCACGATTAAAATACACTAATATATTAAAAAAGAGGTTTGAAAATGTTACCATATAAAGCCTTTACTTCGGATAATCGGGGGTTTTATTGTATCTTAATAACAACGAAACTTGAAGTATTGTAGATACATTACATCTTATCCGAGGAAGAGCATACCAATTAAACCAATATTTACATAAATTAATCCTTACATTGGCGATAAAATAAATACTACAAGAAGAGTTATATTTAAAAAATAAAAGGTACCTTTCCAATTTTAGATAACATCGGCATTTCCAATATCTCCCATATTTTATGTCTAATCTCACCCCAATCGGAATCGCCGAAATCCTCATCGATTATTTTATCCATAATTTTTTCTTGTAATTTTAAATCTTTTTTGGCTCTTCCACGTTTCATTACAAATCTATGATAACAATAATAATCCAAATTACTTTCGTTTAACCACCAATAATTTAGGATATGTTGAAAATCGAAAGAACACATTCTCTCGTCTAAATGAAGAGTGTCGTTGTAATAACAGTCGAGGATTTCACCGAATAAATTGCAACGATAATTGAAGAAGAATTCCTTCTTCTTATCATCATAATGGTCGAATATTTTATTAGCATCTTCCCACTTCTTTACCGAATGAAGTTGTCCTAATCGAGAATTAGGAAGTGTTTTCAAAATGCGAAAAGGGCAACTGTATTTCGTACCACCAACGTTAAGAATAATCTTATCTTCTTCTTTAAGCATAAATAAATTTGGCATAATTGTATGAGTCGTAATGGATTATCCTACTAGAAATAAACAATTGTCCGATTTATAATAATAATTATTTGTGCAATAATTGATAACAAAACAATATTGATATAATTTTAAAATTTATTATTAATTTAAATCCACATAATTGATTATTAATCATTCATTCTCCGTTGAATTTTTCACCATTTTGTCGTATAATTCTTTCAAGATACGTTGTTCAGTCGGTGTCATTAAACCTCTAAATAATAAAAGAAAATGATCTTGTAACCATTTTTAAATAATGCTTTTGTACTTTATAATAAGAAATAATAGAAAATGAGAGATTGCGGCTGACGTTTTCAATGCGAAAACGTGTACGTCGGACGTTCAGCGCCGCCTTCCTGTGAGTCTAGAAGTTTGACAATGGCGTTTGGAACGTCGACTGACATTGCAAACGTCATTGTCAAACTTCTAAGCTTACGGGAAGGCGGCGAGTCGCTAAACGTTCGACGTACACGTTTTCGCGTTGAAAACGTCAGCCGCAACCTCTCTAATATAAAAACAAACCTCTGTACGGTAGAAAGAGAAATTTTAAAGTCATTTTCCTGTAATTTTTGATATGTTTCCCATGCGAATTTAGAAGAATTAGGAATATCTAGAGGAATTTTTTCTAACATTTCGATAAAGTTTTCTGGCAATGATTCGTTTCTTGGTGGAGGCTTCGAGTTTACATCTTCTATTATCTCTGTAGCCATTTGCATCTGAAACTTATTTATGTAACTTTTATAACATACAATAAACAATTATTATTCTGAATGTATTCAAATCACAATTCCAAAATTTCTAAATATACGTATGAGGGTGTAATTCCTTCTGTGTTGCCTCAGCAGCATTTCCCAATCTCGTTTGATGAGATGCTATGGAAATATGGGCTTTCGAAAATGGCGAGTGTTCTGTTAATTTCTACGCTGGAGGAACACAGAAGTTTTCGATTGTTATAAACATCTAATAAGAATACAAGAAAACTTTCTCGAGAAATGAATACTTTGTACAGAAACAACTATCTATCAAAGCAGAAACGAAACGACGAGCATCCAAGATGCCCAAATTAAACCACTTTACCTCATCTGTTATCTTGATTATCATCATTTTGACCTAATGAAGAAGCAATTTGAAAGTTACGACGATGTAAAGACATCAGGAGATTATGGCTGCATAAGCAACTGGAAACATCCTATGAGAGTTATATCCAAAAATTTGTGCCACGATGAGAGAAATGTTTGGCCCTTCTTAAGAACTACGTAGAATAATAGGATATAAACTGGACTTTCAGATGTATATTTTGAAATTCTCAGATTGTTTTAGGAAAATGCAGTTGGAAAGGATTACGGTAACCATAATAAAGATGAACTATCGATATACACAAGGCCATATCGAGGGTTTAAAACGTCTGATTTAATTGATGTTTTTACATAAATTATTTTCGTAATGCTCACCATTTTCCATCAGGTGAGCACTACCAGAGCTTCTTTCACATTCCTTCATTCCTCATTTCTTCAAGCCCACAATTGGACAGCGAATCAATCTTGGATCTATAGAGCGGTGGACTGACCGCATGGTCTTCCGTTCTTAATTTTTCCATTGATAAATTAGCAATGGCCTTCTTAAAATCTCGACAAATCATTTGTAAACGTACTCACAAATATTTTTATTTTAAAATAAATATATAAAAATTACCTCATTCTCTGATGTGGAATTTATCATATTCTGATGAACTTCTAAAAATATATTAAAAATAATATAATACATTTATATTGAATGTAAAATTGATATTAGGCATTAATGCTAATAATAAAATTAATATTGTTTTACCATCTGAAAGTGATATTCTGGGAATTAACACATCTGTACGATGCTTGTTGATCGGTTGTGCAATTCTGTGAAATATTTAGAAATAATTTAAATTTTTACACTATTACACTACATAACTATTCGTATTCTTTTTTAGGATAATATCGAATTTCAATAATATGAATATTACATTAGTTATCTGTGAATTATTAAACTTAAAGTATAGAAATATTGACAAAAAGTGATAAACTTACTCCAGTTCTATTTCAGTCTGTAAGTTTCTTATAGTCATTTTGTTTGAATTATTTGAATATGGATTTACACGAAATTGTAATTCCTAGGAAATAAAAATAGCAATCTTATAAATCCTACAGATACAGTACAGATGTGTTTTATTTGTAATCAAGGCAAGACATGTTTTATATGCTGTGCACCATTCTCTGCTATGTTACAATAGCATGTTCAATTGTTGAATGTAGTGTATTCCTTGAAATGTTACGAAAAAGTTTTATAATAAAAATTATAAGTTACCTCTATTTTATTTCTTTTCAATTCATCTGTTTCTTCATTAACATATTTTATATCTTCTGATTTCTGACTTTGTTTATATGCTGAAAGTAAGTCGTTGAATAATTATTAAGTTTCAATTGTAAAGAATGTAATTATATTAGATGTACAGTCGAACCCCCCTATAACACTGTTGATTATTCCGTTTTATATGAATTCATGTTGTACGAGTCACTTAGGTTTTACAAATACGTGAGCCGTTCACAGCCCGGCACACGTATTTGTAAAACCTAAGTGACTCGTACAACATGGAATTCATATAAAACGGAATAATCAACAGTGTTATAGGGGGGGTCGACTGTAGTCTATACCTGTATAAAAAGTAAAACATTAAAAGTGTCAAAATCTGGAAATTTCAAGGATTTTTCTTTAATTTTGCTCTTGTATATCTTTATTTTTACCATGTCCATATTAATGGTTAACTGTTTTTTAATAATAGTAAGGTTACGGCCGACGTTTTCAATGCGAAAACGTGAACGTCGAACGTCGAGCGCCACTTCGCTCGACGTTCGACGTTCACGTTTTACAGATGAAAACGTCGGCCGCAACCTCGCTAACGTTTGCTTCGTCCCACTCTTCCATTATTGACATTACCGCGAAAATTGTATTAATGTGGCTTTTTTTTCACGTTGCATTTGTGTTCCTTCAGAGGTAATGTGAGGTTTCTTTACGTAATCCTTTTTGACTCCTAACTTCAGTTGTGTTTGACCCTTATAATCAACTTTACCCTTGTTTTTATGTATATTATAAATAATATAATTAAAAATAACTCAAATTACCTTTCGACATTTTCGTCTTTTTCTTATTTAACTTTTTAACTGCGGATGACGGTCTTCTTAATTCTGGCGAAAGTAACAATGGACTTATTATTTCCTTTATTTTGTTATCGTTCTTGTTTTCTTGCTCGATGTCACTCACACTTACTTCCGATATCATGGTGACGATATCAATTATATTGTCGGAATCGTGAGAGGCATTTCTACAGTTTGAAATGGTTTAATTAAAAAACGTATTGGTTTTATAATTAAAATTAGAAAACATAAAGAATATTTCTCTTACTTCGGCTTCGGTTTTCCTTCTAGATTTTCCTTTTCTACATTCGATTTTTTCTTTTTGCATTTCTTTCTTGTCTTTTTTTTATTTTTATACCTATTTTTCTGTAATATTAATGGTGTCCTTCTTCTTTTAACACGTTTTAATTCTGTTGTATCTAAGTTATTTTTTTCATGAAATTCATTCGAATCTATATTTGGTATTTCCGAATCAGATGCTTCTAAACCTTTCAGAAGATTTCTTTTTATAGAATTTATGTTGATAAATCTCTTACTTTGTCTCATAAACATCCTCAAAAATAGAAAAAAAAACATACACACATATACTGTACATTTCTTAATTATCTAAATAACTATATGTAATAATTTCATTTTCAAGAACACTATAATGCATTTATTCATTTAGTCTATTAATCAATCAGAGATTTATGGGCCAGACCGAGCTCACTATGGACCCACTTTAGTTTGTTCGTATACGTCAACCGGGAGGTCTTTTATATAAGAAAACTGGCCCCTATTTAAGTGTTACAAACGTGAAAAAGAAACATTTTAACACGTGCCCAACCAGTGTTAAATGGTTTTATCCACGTGTTCTATACAATAAAATTCTAAATGCTATCTCACTGACTTACCTTCGTTAAATTAGGTTTGTAGTAGCCTATATTATAGGAAGATTGATCAAACTACTAGAACACGTGACTTAGTATTGAAAGTATTATTGGTTACTTATCAAATATGCATGTGTTGAGTCTGAGTATTATATACGTAACTAACTACTAAACTAAAAAAGTTACAGTCTGAAAATAACACAGTAATAATCGATCTTTATTTATCAATTATATTTACATTAACTGAGCTTTATTATTATTATTATTTTTCTAATTAAAATCTTTTAGGGTATCTTAAAGGTGAATTTAAAGGTTGGGAGATGAAGGTGATTCTGCTAGTTCCTTTCTGAACTTCATTATTATTGTTATCCCGATCAATATTTTAATATAATATTGCGTGATAAAGACAAGTGCAAACATAATTATTTTCATCCCAAGGTCAAAGAAAAGGGAAATAATGTACATTTTTTTTATTCTCTTAAGAAGAAATTTTTATTTTTTATAACTCATGAATGATCTGATAGTTCCAATTATCTATTATATCCAAAGCCACGAGGATCAACTGTCAATAAAAACTGAACTTCATATGAGATATATTAAGAGACGTAAACATTCCATATTAAGATAAATACGAGGGAAACAAGCAGGTTTATAAACAACAGCTGCCCAACCACGCATACACACACACCGTTGCTTTGCTGACATTTTTTGTAGTATAAAATATTGTGTTTTATCCCGACAGACATTTTGAAACATACTCGTACAGATTCGGTTTATGGCTCCTGCTCCAGCTTCAGCCTCAGACAAACATTTAATTTATGAAGCCAAGAATATATGAACACGGACTCTGTGTCAGGCTGCAAAGTTTTGCTTGTATGATGTGAACTTCCACTACGTGCTCCAAAATGACATCTTTATACAAGGACAGTTATGTATACCATATGATGGTCACTACAAAGAATTATATGGCTTTTTAAGAACTGGTAAAAGAATAACAACAGAAAAATGCCGAAAAATTTAAAAAATTCAACCGGTATTACGAGGTTGCGGCCGACGTTTCCATCTCTAAAACGTGAACGTCGAACGTCGAGCGCCGCTCGACGTATTATAGAGTATATATTTTATTAATTTAAAAAATAAAAAACAGGTAAATGTTATTCGTAGATCGAAATTTTATTGAAAATACTTGGAAAACAAATGTTTAAAAACGTTGTGAATTACAAAAACATGGCGGCTATTACTTCATTTCAGATTTCGGAGGTTCTGAAATGTAAAAAAAAAATCTAATCAAAGATTCTGAGTCTGACCAATTGAGTGGAAAAAAGGGCTTCTTTATGCCCGAAGAATCAATGATATTTTATTAAAATAATTATTTAAAAAAAAACAAACACACGTACCCAAATCTTCATTATTTAACGTAGCCTTAATTATTTGTCCTTTCACTCTTAATTTCAGTCTTTTCCACAGACTGTTTCTTGGCGAAGGAGGAGGAAATAAACCGGGTGGTCTATAAACGTGTCTTATTTTGTTCCATTTTTCACTTATTTCGGATCTTTGTTCTTGTTTCCATTCTTCCAGCTCTTGTTTAAAGTTATTTATATCATAGTCAGTTAATTGTTTGTTACGAGGGAGTAAAGGTTTTCCATTTCTTTTTCTAACGGAAAACTTCTTATCCAAATTGATATACGCTTTATAAAAATGTCTCAAGTCGTAAATTAATTCGTCGTTTGTTGTGTATTTGTAGATATCATTTAATACTTGAATGCTATGACGTTTGGTGTTACTGGTATGTGGCAAATCAGTTTCTGATTCACTATTGCTGTTTAATGTACTGGAAGAATTGGATGGAAGTGACTCTACGTCTATAGTTTCGCATGTATTCTCCTCAGTCTCACTGACAAATATACTATTTTCTATTTCATATTCTATATTTTCGCCCTGTTCTGATAATTGCTGGTCTATTGTATCTTCTGAAATGTCCTCTTTTCCGTTTTTCGAACTCTTACCTCCCATTTTAACTTCAATGTAATTGTTTAATAATCATTTACATTTTCTTTAATTGTTAATGAATTATTTTAATAATTATTATATCATAAAAACAATGGATTATAATGTGGAAGATAGCAAATTTTAAAAGGAATTGTTATACAGTTGGTTAGACTACACCTATAACACTATATACTTATAAAACTGAAAATCATGTATAAATACTGTGTTTATACATTATTTTGAGTAATAATTTAAAAACTAATAAAAAAATGTGTGTGTGTTAGTAAGTTACGAATGATAAAATTAAATAAATATCATTATAGATATAATTACTATAATCACAAACACTGTATCATAAGTAGACAAAGATATGAATTAAAGATTAATCAGTTTACAATACAAAATGTTTCATATTTGAGTTGCAATAGGATAAATTCTCATCAATGATTATTTGTAATCATAAGTAAACAGTAATTGATCTAAAATAACATTTTGAAATAATTTTGTGAAATAACTTCGCCCCATTGTGGGCCAGGCCCACAATGAAGCGAAGGATCAGTGAGAAATTGGGCAATGAATCAGTAAGCCAACTCCTTGCTGGAGTTTTTTTAAAGCTGGTTTGAAAATACACATTAATCTGTTAGGTAATTTTTTCGTTTGTTTTGATAGAACCTCCTCTTTGAAAATCAAATTTTTTTTTTATCTTTTTTTATATTGAACTATATGATTGATAACCATTGCTTTTCGATTTGATAATAAGGCGATTAGGATACTGTTACAATGTGTCAGAATGGCCGAGTGGTCTAAGGCGCCAGACTTAAGATCTGGTCCTCGTATGAGGGCGTGGGTTCGAACCCCACTTCTGACATGTTGTTTTTGCTGGAGTAAACATTTACCGGGGTTCAACCTTATCGTTCCATTGCATCCGAGATGATGTACAGTACTGTACGTTCGTAGTCTTGAACAGATTAATCCTCTGAGAACGAATGGTTTTCTGCATATATTTAACATATTTGTAAATTTTGTATATATTTTTCTGTAAATTACTTTGTTAATCTCGTCCATTTTGGAATGAGGTTAACAACACCAATAAAATAAAGACAGTTCGAGTGAGGACCCGAAAGTGAACGGACGTGTTTTTATTGTCTCCAATATTCTTGTCTCGCTCACCCTACACTCAACCCCAGGACTACGACTGCAAAATAATACGATATATATATATTTTGCATAATTTTAAATACTAAATTTACTCGGTTTAAAATATACTGCCAAAGCATCGTTTAATTAACTTTCAATTTAAAAATTACTCGTACTTGTGTATATAGCCGGTGATTCGGGTTCGTGTCCAGAAAGGGAGGAATCAAATGTTAAAGTTTGGCATATTTCGAATAAAGTTTTTCATTATTTGAATCGTGTACGCTCACAGAGAGGTTGCGGCCGAGGTTTACAACGCGAAAACGTGTACGTCGGACGTTCAGTGCCGCCTTCCCGTGAGTCTAGAAGTTTGACAATGGCGTTTGGAACGTCGAGCATAATTCCACTGACGTTAATTTCTTGTATCTTCAAGATACTTTAGGAGAAGTTGTTAGAAATATAATTGAATTGCCCGAAAACTGTGAGGTAAATTATTATTATTATTTAAAGCCAAACTATTTATATTTATATGCTCAATTTATAATGCACTAAATATAATTATTCTAAATATCACTTATGGTAGCTTATATGAATTTCAATAATTTGTAGTATTACACTGAAGAGGGGATTAGCATTTATATAAGCCTGAAATGCATATGTAAAAGCAATAAAAGTAGTGTCTAACCTGAAAGCTGTAATGATAGTCTACAGAACTTAGTTTTCGGATTAAAGCCACATACATTCATAATTATAATTTGATATTAATTAATAAAACTAAATTTACACTTTTAGATAAATATTCCTTCAATATGAGCTATAATACAGGATTAAATATCAATAAAATAACAAGTTATAAATGTTTGAATGTAAAACAACACATCATTATTCATTCAGAAAGTAATGTTAACTATGTGATTTGATACTTTAAACAGAAAAATTGACTCATGGAATCATTTTTCTACAAGAATTCACCATACAAACACAAAAATGCCATGTGTACTATATTTGATATGTATAATTCCAGTTGCAGAATCTATCTTGCATAAAAATAGTCTGGTTGTAGCTAACAAGCTTTGTGGTAGGAAAAGTAGTATTTATAATATTATATTATATTGCAAAAGTTTTCATTATTAATGGAAACAAACTATGTACATCAGAACTGCATTAGCTCATTAGTAGAAAAATGGCAAACTAAGATTATAATTGGCAACATTTTATTTTCTTGATTATTTTCTATATTTGTTTTCAATATTTTAAGCAGTTCAAGTGTTATGTAATACATGTATGTTGAACCCAACATTTTAACTTTGTAGTCAGATATGGCACTATCATGATATAGTGGAGAATAAACTTGGGAAATTTTTTTTTAAAGAATTTTCCCACGTGTTTTTGTTTTGGAAAAAGTTTTTTAAACAGTTACCTCTAGTATGGAAAAAATTCTTTCTTTATTGTCATATAATTCCTTATGTGAATTTTTTTGGCTAAAATATTTTTATATCATAGTATAATTGAAAATTATCAAACTTCCTTTCTGGTCCTCTTAACCTCCTGTTGGAATGCCAGGAAAGTCAAAGATTCTTTGCCAGCTTTTTATCACGATGTTGATAATTACAATAAAAAGTAAAAATTCCATTTTCTAATACTAACTTTAACAATTCTGTATGAGCTGTATGAATCTTAAAGAATATAAATGTTATAATCACTACAATTCTACCAAAAATTTCTAAGTAAAATGCATTTTCATCACTAACAATCTCTTGATGCACTTTTTAATAAAATGATAACATAAAATACTTTGTTTTTATTAATTTCTCATGAAATGCAGAGAATTATGTATGAATATGAACTTATTACTGTAAAGTTTCATATAAATATTACAGTATCTCTCTAAATAAGAGTAGAGCCAATATGCTGGATCTTGAATGTGTATCACTCTATTACCATAGCTAAGTAACAAAGCTATAGCAGCAGAAAGTAATAAAATAGAGAATGAAAACTAAAAGTTTAAGTATCACTTCATATGGCATTATGTGACTGTTTTTTGTAATCTCAAATATCCTGCAAAAATATCAGAAATTTCAGATAATAATAATAGAACATATTCTAATATATCTTTTGTATACAAGACAATATATTACATTCAACTTTTTTGTAATGAACACGGAACTATTTTTCTTCATATATGTTGATCGGTGCTTCTCAAACATTTTGGCTGGCAGTGGTATAACATTAAAAAAATTTCTGCATACTTCATGTATAAAATTTTATATATATTAAACTATAAATTCCAATAACAACTGCTACCCTATAGGCCTAACCTAATTATTAATTTACCATGATGTAATAAGCTTTGTACAAATTGGTTTTGTTTTATTTTTAAAATATACTTTCTTAACATCACATTTTTTTTAATACTCTTTCCGCCCTGTGGATACAAAGAGGGCCTCTTATAGCAGGCCCATTATGGTTTTGACCAGGCCAACAATGGTGCGACCGGGTGGTGAAGGACGGGGCCGACATATCCGAACGGACAACCTCCCGAAAAATTCCTGGGGATTCCTTGACATGTCCGGATTTGATCCTGGGTCCCCCAGAGCAGTAGGCTGCCACGTTAACTGCTCGGCCATTGGGCCATCTTTCTTGAATAATTAATCCATAAAACTCTTTATAACCTAACAATTTAGAATTTCATGTAATTGAAACAGCATATCAAATGAACGTTTAAGAAATGGCTTAAATATAAAAAAACACACAAAGAAATCAAATTGAAACTTACATGATTCAGATTTCATATTTTAATTCATAATTACCTGTACAAAGATTTACACACTATCAATTCCAAAAATAAACANACCAATAAAAACAATAATTTTTCTTAAATTTCACATTATCTCCAATACCATTTTGTTATCTATCATAATGTTGTCATCCATCACAAAGATCAATAAAACTTTTACCTATCAATAAAAAATTAAAATAAAACTTTTAAATTTGATTATTACTTATAGTAAAAATAAAATATTAATATGTCTACATTTAAATTATCTAATTCCAAAATTAATCATAACTAATATTACAAGAAGAGTTCAAAAATTACAACAGATCTACACAAGCGTCCCAATTTCTAATATACCATTTTTTAATGATCAAATATTTGGCAATTACATTCCCTTAAAACCCTTTCCATGAAATTTTTCAATCAATAATTCAATACAAATCTAGAATTTATCATTTGTATATGATCTTTATACTTTATTTACCTGTAGTAAAGAAATAAATTTTGGCAACATTAAATTTTTACTTTATAACTTCATTCAACTTCTGAAATAATGAAAGAAGTTAAGGCTGTGTACACATTAGGCGTTGCATTAAACGCGCGTTAGCAATGTACACACCGCGCGTTTAGCTCGGCGTTCAAAGACCGTTCTCACTGGCTCGGATTGGAAATGGACGTGAAAGTAATTGCTTGTGTGTGGCTCCTCTATTGTTGCTATAAAGGACGATGGCAGAGGCAAAGAGAATTTTGGGTGCACCCAATATTATGAGATAGACTGATGCATGGAATGTTTGTGACGTTGTATCCAAAACTAAGACAATATGAATCCAAGTTTTTTAATTATTTTAGAATGTCTATAAAATCATTTGACAATGGCTGGTCTATTTTAGATTTCATCGATAAATAGATCAGTATCGAAATGATCGTTCTCCATTTCGCCCAATGAGCGTCCACTCTTCCCAAAAGCGCGCAATCGAATGTACAACAACATGGCAACACATGTATCTCAAAGCGGGCAGCTGACGCCCACAAAACGCGTGTTCTAACCAAAATCTATCAACGCGCATTTGAGTGTGTATATCTCTTGGTTCTTTAAAACGTGTTTCAAAATGCCTAATGTGTACACAGCCTAAAGGTAATAGTAAATATAATAGAGAATAATGCACTATGTTTTTGAATCTATAACTTCATTATCATGCAATTTTTAATATAATTACTTCTAAATGTCAAATCACAATAAATGGTATATTTAGATGATCCCTTGGTGTAAAATTGAAATTATTTTTAAAATTACGAAAACATTTTTCTGCACTGTAATTACAAAATATTACAGTAGAGCATCAATTATCCGAATCAATTGGGGACTGGAATTGTTCGGAAACTCGATTTTTCGGATAACCGATTATGTATGAAAAAATATATTAACCTATCCCATGTTGAAATTTGTTCAAATCCTGGAACGTCCTTAAGTACCTTCTCATGGTCGTGCCAGTGCTGCCATGAACTTGTTCAAATATTAAATTTATAATAAAGATGTTTTTCTACTCAGAAATCTCTATTAGATTTAACTTAGTTCATTTGTTGTTTTATGTTTTGGTTTTAAATTTCGTTAAAAATCAATGAATTATGTAGCAAACAAGAATTTCTACTACCTATTTAGTAAAATTAAACTTAAAACAGTTGCTTATAATCGTAATTTCAAGTGTAAATAAAGATTTATTTTATTTTTGATTTACAAAAATCATTATTTAAATTTTATCATTTTAAAGTTTAGTACATCAACACTATCTTTAAAAATTTGCTTCTAGAATATCAGAATAAGAATACTAAAAAAAAAATCTGTTTTAACTAATAAATTAAATGTAGAACTAGCTGAAGAAATATACAGTATTTAGACATATTTCACTACACTGGTTTAATCTAAAACTTTTAAATATTATTACTAAAATTAATGTTTCTTCTAAAATCAGAATTTAAACTTGCCATTCTCTTAAAAAATTGTTCTTCTTGAACTGCTCCTTTCTTCCCCATGCTTCCTCCAGCTTCTCTGTAATGAATACATTTATTATATATTTCATTTATGACTGTTGCAGTTACTATATTAATTTAATTTGAAAGCTTTCAATGTTAATATTTCTTCCATTATTATAATGTTAGTATTAAATTTAAAAAATTATTTATATAAATATTTGATTTGTTGTTCTCAAACATATCCAGTGATTGGAGCCAACTTTATAGATGTGTGCAAGAGGCCACCACCAGGATATAAAACAATGTCTTACAAAGCCAGGATAATTTAACCTTGAGCTACACTGGTTATAGCGACGTCAGGTGGTTGGATGGCTCTGTACGGCCCTAATTAGTACCACCGCCGGCACATCAGATAGCGGTTAATGTGTTAAACTACTGAATAATTTTATTTCAGCTATCATTAAGCCAAATTTCATTAAAATCCATATATATAACTTCTTACATAGATCAAGTTTTCAGCCCTTATTAAACGTTTTTCATATTGTTACCACCATTTAAATGTTAGGAGACTGAATTGTATCTAACAAGACTTTAAAATGAAACGCAGTGAATTCACTTTCATCATTTTTGGACCACCAATAAAAACAATAATTTTTCTTAAATTTCACATTATCTCCAATACCATTTTGTTATCTATCATAATGTTGTCATCCATCACAAAGATCAATAAAACTTTTACCTTGTTAAGTAAAATTTTTAATGTGTTACAACCATTACTATTATTGTGAATTTAANAAACACACAATCTGTATACAGTTCGTACTATCGAACATACGAACTTGCCACCCGCTGTTCAGATGAAGAAAGGAAGCTGGAAGAACTCAAACCGCGTTACTCATGCTAGAGATGCATACAACGGCTCGTCTGTGGATCGTGGTGTAAATTTTAAAGATTATTTTAACACAAATTATATCGTCTTAAGTGGACCGACTGGCAAACAATCCGAGAAGTTTACAACGGAGAATCGCGTAATTTTGGACAAAATAAGCGAAAATCTAATCGAGGAAAAAGATTTGGTGAAAGAACAAATTGATTCACGCCATCGAAACAAATATTCTGTCTCCAAGAATAATAAACAGAATTGTTCAGTAAGAAGAAAAAATACAGACATTACAATAGACGAAGTCGAGAATTTTACTTCTAGAAGAAATTTTTGTGGCGAAAAAGAAAAGTTTACTCATTTCGTGGAACTCGTAGACACGGATGACATTTCGGAGTAGAAGCGCACATAACCGAAGACAAAATTCATTTATAAATAATTCTTAAATACATTAATTTCGTGTTAATTTGGTACATTAAATTTGGTAAATACATTATTATAGCCTAATTAGTTANACCAATAAAAACAATAATTTTTCTTAAATTTCACATTATCTCCAATACCATTTTGTTATCTATCATAATGTTGTCATCCATCACAAAGATCAATAAAACTTTTACCTTGTTAAGTAAAATTTTTAATGTGTTACAACCATTATTATTATTGTGAATTTAATAATAATAAAAAAAAAACAACTTTAATAATATAAAATTAATACTTTAACAGAAAGTACCATTTATGAGCTAAATTTACAGGCACTGTTAATATCTATCTATCTATCTTAAAACATTTAAAATTGATCAAAATATTCAAGGAACATTTTTTGCAAGTCAATCAAATTATCTCACGTGTCGCTTGCTGAATTTATTTTCACAAATTTATTCACTATTCAAATATATTTTTTGTTCATCGGTACTAATTGTTTCAGCCGTAAATTTTCTTTTAAATGCCTACAGTTTCCAACTTCTGTTATATAATAGTTTTTCAATTTCTGTGTCTCACTTTCAACATTGATAAAAGATTGAAAACTTTTATCTGATGTGTATATTAGGCAAAATGAACACTATGCAGAATATAAAGATAGACACAGACCCATTGACTCTATTAGTTATAGTTTTAGTCATAAATATCTTAAAAGAAAATTCTTCTTCCATGTTTTAAAAGAAAATTATTAACATTTTATTTTAAGATCTTTTGTGAAAATTGATAATTTATGCTTGCTAGCAATTTTTGCTCTCTAATTGAAAATGTTTCTATAGCAAAGGAAAACATTTGTAATAGATTACTGAACTTGTAGTGTTGACAAATTCCTCTTTGATAAAGTTAAGGTTGTATGTAACTTTTCAAAACTTTAGAAAAGATTATACAAAATATTAGCGAGGTTAAGGCCAAAGTTTTAAACACAAAAACGTGTACATCGGACGTTCAGTGCCGCTTTCCTGTAAGCCTAGAAGTTTGACAATGGTGTTTGGAACATCGAGCATGATTCTACTGACTATCCAAACACCATTGTCAAACTTCTAGGCTTGAATGTCTGACGTACACGTTTTCACATTTAAAACTTCGGCCTCAACCTTGCTATTTATAAATTATATTTGTATCCTTACCCTAAGGGTTTTCTGTTATCCATAATATGTGTTATAGACAGTTTAATTCAAACTGAATTATGAATTTAGGGTATCATTACTATAAAAATAAAAAGTAAGTAAAATTATTATTAATTGTTAATATGGGTTGATCATATTAGTTTACCATCTTCCAGCCACACACAATGAGAAAATGGGAAATCACTTTATACTTCAAAAATAATTATTCGTATCTACCTTTGAAAAGTTTCATGTGCTCCTCCAACTATCTCATAATTGTTTCCTTTGATAAGTTGCTATTTTTTGAAAGCTGGCATATCTCATTAATTGTTTATATGAGATATTTTAATTAAATATATCATGAAAACATTTACATTAATAACTACAATAGTCGTTCAATGTTTATATAATTGATATTTAAACTTACCTAACTGTTCCTCCAGTTCCTCCTCCCTAAAATGTATAAAAATTATTAGTTTTTGTAATGCGTAAAAATGTTTGAATAATTCTTAAAATACAATAAACAATACTCATTATAAATTCAATATAAAGTTTGTTTACTTTTAGAATATTACCGTCAATAAGTTTTATCAACAATTTAATTCTTTGTGTTGTTATATTTTATAAAAATCTATTATATAAAGTACAAAATATTCAATTTAATACACAATTAGAAATTTTCATTGTTTTCATTTTTCAAATTTAAAGCTATTTGAAGAATAAGCTTTATTAATCATTAAAAATTATTTAATTTTGAAGAGTAGAAAACAATATTAGCATATTTTCACATCCAAATTACTACATAATCACATTTTAATTTGAAATTATGAAATCATAATGACTGTAGATATCTTTAAAATGTGATAATAAATTTAAAATTTTCCTCAAATACAATGAAGGAATTTATAATAGTTTTCATAATAAGAGAATAGATTATATAAAGTATAATTGTATTTCCTACATTTTCTCAAGTAATTTTTCATATCATGTTTATGTATATATACCAGTACGATATAAAAAATTATATATAATATAATATACACAGTGGTACCTTGACTTATGAGTGTCCCAACTTACGGATTTTTTTTGGATACGAGCTATCTCTCGGCAAAATTTTTTGCTTTGAGTCGGGAGCTAAAATTCGGGTTACGAGCCAGCTTCTGATACCCTACCACTAGCTGGCACAGCAAACCATAGATTAAGTAAAAGAAGATGGAAAACTGCCATAATTTTGTCATTTTCATTACTTTTCCAATCTCTGATGGGCTAGCTTATAGAAAAACACATGATCGAGTGATGTACGCATTAGTTCACTTCCATGTTGTATGTGGTGCCACCATATCTCATTTCTCAAATTTTCTGTCTTCTTTCTTTATCTAGGCAGCGAACACTGCAATTATAGTCATTTTAAACCAGTTTATTGCAGTACATTCTATTGTGTTTTTATACAATATTCGTTATTTATAAGTACATTCTTCTTATTTAAAAACATGTAACAAAAAAATTTGCAGTGTTTTGGAGGGTCCAGAATGGATTAACAGCATTTCAATTCGTTTCAATGGAATAATTGATTTGATATAAAAGCAATTTGAGTTCCATCACAGAACAAATTAAACTCGTAAGTCAAGGTACTATTGTATACGATATGATACATATATGTGTCATATGTATGTTATATAAAAATAAATGTATTTCAAAGTCTACAATTAAAAAAAAAACAAAAATGTAATTTACATTGTTTTTTTTATGCATAATGAATAATTTATATTTGTTTAAATTTATTTAAATTTCCATCATTCACTTTAGATCAATCTGATACAAATATTCATAAAACCAGCAAATAACAAGAAAAAAGGAAAATTTACGAACGTTTTCATCTATGTGAAACAGACATCCTCAGGTATAAACGATATCTTTATAAATAAAGAAATAACTAGAAAAAAACGATATCTTTATAAATAAAGATATTGTTTTTTTCTAGTTATTTACTGGTGTTGGTTTTATGAGTGATATATTTACACAAACCAGTTGTTGAGATGTATTGAATCCGATACACCATGCAAATTTTGAATTGTCATTTCTTAATGGAAAATTACAATCATGCCAACTTCTCAGTAGCTTCATTTCTCTCATGCCTGATGGTCGCTTTAATTCTTAAAACTTAAAAAACCTTCAAAATACATGGCAATATCTTTTTTGATTTTGATATATTGTGCTTGTTCTGTCTATATACTGAAAATTTAAAATATCATCTGGTTTTAGCACTCAACTACTTTTTTTAGAAATAAAATCCTGTAAAACAAATTTTATTATTTAGAAATTAGTATCATCTTATAAGCAATACAAGCCAATCTCAATCAGAGAAATGAATGCAAAACAAATAAAAAAAAAGTAAAGGACTGAAATGTAGTCCTAAATAAAAAGCTACTAAACCAATGTGAGTGCAAAAAAAAAGGTGAAAAAAACAATTTGTTTATCACACACAGAAGTCTATTGTACAACATGCAGCGTTAATGTAATGAAGAACAATGAATGGTGAATAAACACTGAAAAATCTTTGCATAATACAAAAAATACAGATAAATCATTTTTATACTTGTAGTTTTTACTTTTTCATTAAAAAGTATAATAAAATATATATAAGTTTGTGGAAGATTAATTTGTTACTATGTAATTTGAATAATGATTTAAAACTAAATAATACTTCTAATGTCTTGTGAAAATTCAATAACTCAGAAAAATTAATTTTTCCAAGTTATTGTTATTAAAACAAATATACAGTATATAAAAACATGAATTAAATGTTTATAACATCAAAACAAAACTTGCCTTTCCAGATCCAGATCCTAATTCATCTCCATGACTAAAGGCAACCTGACTAAAATTTAAAAAATTATTATTATTCATTAACATGACTACATCAAATGTACACACAAGTGGATGCAAAATGCAAATAAGAACAAAGCTTTAAAGTCCAACAAGGATGTAAAAATATATGTTTTCAAATACCGGTATATGATTTAAGTATCGATTCTTTTTCCTTATCCCTCACACATCACACTATTTTACAATTTAACTCCTTACTTAAATGATTTAAACTTACCGCTATTCAAAATTCAGTTAAGATAAATATTTTAAAATGCTAAAACCAAAATTTACTATTTTGAAATCTTTTTTTGTAAATGAATTATTACAGCAAATTTTCAAATTAATTAAAACAAAAAAATCTCTGTTTTTAAAAGGATTACATATTGTATATTGCTTTGTATATTATTAATAAAATTTAACTTTTGAAATAAGATGCGCACTCGTAAGCTTTGCCTAGGGTGCAAAATAACCCTGCACTGACACTGTATAGAGGTACAGTTCCCTTCACTTTTTTTCTCCTATGGGTATGGTCTACAGCTCTGATAAGGTTCAACCATCTCATTCAGAGGTATAATTGTACTAGGCCAGGGGTTGCCAAAGTGGTCGATATAACATTAATGGAGGGGTCAATTATCAAGCTTAAGCTAAAGATAAGAGAGAGCTATGGATCAAGCTTATTCCTCTCACTGATTGTCAGTTACAAAAATTATTATTAATAAATATACAATAAATGAAAAAAAATGCAAAATTAAAAGAAATGTATTAAAGCAGTAAGTACAGGTAACCCCCTATAACACGGGAGTTACATTCCAAAAAATTGCCGTGTTATGCGAATCCGTGTTATACGAAACAAAGAACTAGTGTGAAAAGAGGGATTAGGTTCCAAAAATTAAAAAACATGCCATTAAATCCTTATTTAAATCGGATTTATTATTCATTTTTTTCATAGATAAAATACTTATTTATTATTTAAGTAAATATTTTACCAGAGAATTATTCATCCCATATGATGATCTTAGCATGATCATCATCAACTGGTAAGTTTTTGGGTGCGTTCGTTAATAGCAGTCGCTCTGCAACGGGAGTGCACTGCTGTTTGTAGTCATTTAGGAACTACGGCGAAAGAAAGATGGCGGTGCCCGCACTATCGATAGTATCACAACGGAGGAATCTATAATTCTAAAATGAGCTTTTAGAGGCAAAAGAAGGGTCCCAATTGTAAAATTTAACCATTAAATGGATTATTTGTTGAAAGAGCATTCAAAGTAACCATGAAAACAATTAGAATGCTCGCACGGAGTTACGCAGAGGTTTAAAAGAATGCACCTTTATTACATTTCATGTTGTACGAAGGTTTTACCCAATTCCCAAACTGTGTTAGAGTGAACCCGTGCTATAAAAGCCCCATGTTATATGGGGATGTTCCCAATCCTCGAACCATGTTAGAGTGAATCTGTGCTATAGAAGTACCGTGTTATACGGGGGTTACCTGTACTTTGTTTTGCTTGTAACACAAACTTTTTGGTGGTGGTTGATGCGAGGTTTTAAAAAATTATAGGGGGTCCAAAATCAAAAAAGTTTGCCAATTAGGCTGTGTGTCCCATTTGCCCCATGCTTATATACATATAAACATGGGGTGTAACCATATAAAGCATGGGAAGTGTAACCATGTCTGCAATATAAGCATACATAATATACATTTATATTGCAGACAAATCTTTAAAGGTCCACACGTTCAGCAAAGAAATCTTTTAAAGAATGCAAAGACACAGATATTAATTATAACAATTATTCATTTTCACTTAAATGTAATACACTAATTCATTTAAAATAAATATTTATACCATAACTAATATTTTAAAATATTAATTTATACATATATTTAACTAGTAATTAGCACCAAATGATCACGTGGAAAGTTGTTGTTTATAGCTACATGTTAAAAAAAAATGTCGTAACTGTTGATTTCGTAATCCATATTTTTTATTAATTCATTTAAAATAATAATGAGAATCCTATAAAAAAAATTACGTAAGAAGATAACAAATGTTAGAACTTACCTTCTGAGTAAACAGAAAATGTTGGGAGAGGTTCTAAATCGTCTAACCATGACGGCCGCCATTTTCTAAAAGAAAGAATACGGCGAAGTGTTGCCAGATTGTCTAGGTTAAAATTCTTTAAATAAATTTTACATAATTATACCGAGAATGCTATGAATTTTCTTACTAATTATAAACATTAAAATTTATTTTAGATTTATTAATATAAAATTTCTAATTATAAATTTTTTATTGTTTGTTTTTTGACACTTTCCGCCCTATGGAGTGCTTTCTTTCCAGATGCATCGTAGGCCCGTAATGAGACGGTATGGGGTACGTTCGGGTAGTTTTTTTAACTCTTTCCGCCCTGTGGGCACTAAGAGGGCCTCTTTTTTGCAAGCCCATTATGGGTTCGGCCAGGCCCACAATGGGGCTGACGGGTGGTGAGGGACGGGACCCGATATATCTGAACGGACCACCCCCCCAAAAAATTCCTGGGGATTTTTTCGACCCGTTTGGACTCGAACACGGGTCCCCCAGAACAGTGGGC